TAATTTTGATTAAAATTATATATTTGAGATGTTTATTAAATTAATCATTTAATTTATGTTTTTAGTCTTTTCTTATATTATTTATTCTAGAAATTTTTTATCTAAATTCTAGCAGTTATTTATTTTTTTTCATTAAAAATACAAAGTTTGGCTATAAGACAAGCCCTAGGTGATAGATAGATATGTCCTTCCCAACTATCTTTTATATCTGTGTAATGTAATCAGATGCTTACACGTTTAAGAAATTTGGATATGATGTAAGTTTTTACAATCCGCTTTAAAATTGTCATCCAGGGCTGATGTTCGACTTAATTTTTAAAGTTTGTGCACAAAGCCAATAATATAATTATTTTTATAATTAATTTAGATGTGTCTAACTTGCTTGGTCAATGGTCAATTAGTCATTGGTCAAGGTCATTCTTCAAAAAGAACAATTTTGTTGTAAAACATTTTTTCATGTTAATCATTCAAACAACATAACACCTACACACACACACATGGGCTAACACACATCAAATTGCACAAATACTTTACACATAAATGTGCAGATCAATTAGGTAGATGCAGATGTCAGAGGTTATTTATGGTGCAGGGTTAATCTCTTAGGTACACAAACAATTAAGCATATGCACATGTGACTCTTGATTATTACACATAATTATTTCAACACATAAACACAACCAGCTACTACTCCTTCCTATATAAGGAAGAGCAAATCCAATCAAAAATTCTAAGGCTCAAGCTAAAATTCAATTGTTTTGTGTTTTTTATATTTAACATTATTTTAAATAATTTTCATTCGCAAAACAACAATTAGAAAACAATGAACAATGCGTGAGTTAATGTTCAAATTATTTCAACAGTTAAACTAAATGGTTTTACTCATTGTAACTAAATTTTTAAAACATTTTGATAAGTCTTCAAATTTAATTATCACAAATTTGTAGGCCACATGTTCAACGAGCCTGAAATAATTTAATTAAACAACAATTTTGATTTTTCTAATATTTAGGTTGTAATATGAGTTAGTGACCGAGTCATACAACTGATTTGCTGTTTGAATCAGTTTTTTGAGATTGTTACTGCATCATTTGAATAGCCTATATGATTTCTTCACATTTGTCTGTTATATCAAAACTTTATATCAAATGAATTCTCTGCTCATTCTAGGTCGTTTTAGAATGTCGCATAAGCCCCAGTCAGACCACGACAAGCGCAAACAGATCAGCGTGCGAGGAATAGCCCAGGTGGAGAATGTCGCGAATATAAAGAAGTCGTTCAGCCGTCATGTGCACTACACCCTGGTCAAGGATAGGAATGTGGCCACCCCGCGAGATTACTACCTCACCCTGGCCCACACAGTCAGAGATCATCTGGTTGGTCGATGGATCAGGACTCAGCAGTTTTATTACGAAAATGATCCAAAGGTTTTTATGAATTCTAAATAATTTTTATAAATTATTTAAATGTGAGTAAAAAAACTAATATTTTGGAATATTGTTGATGAAGCTGTGTAACAATTATAGAGCTGTTTACACGTCACATGTTTTTTTCAAATATTTGTTAATTGGTTAATACTTCTTGGTTCTGATGGTGTGAGGCAGACATTTCACTTTTATGAAACTTGATTGTTTCTAATTCTTTTTGTAATTTTCCAGGCTATGTGAAAATTTTTCAAGACGATCAAAAGTTGCTAAAGTATAAATATATTCATTCATTCCAGAGAATTTACTATCTGTCGTTGGAGTTTTACATGGGCAGAACATTATCCAATACAATGTTGAACCTGGGTCTACAGAATGCTGTTGATGAAGCTCTCTACCAGGTTGGCTTTTTTATTGTTAATTCCTGAAATAATCTCATTTGTTTATATTCATTATTTCATATGTTAGGTCATGGTGTGAGGCAGACATTTCACTTTTATTAAACTTATTTGTTTCCATTTCTTTTTGTAATTTTCCAGGCTATGTAAAAAACTTTCAAGATGATCAAAAGTTGCTAAAGTATAAATATATTCATTCATTCCAGAGAATTTACTGTCTGTCGTTGGAGTTTTAGTTTTAATGTTGGAATTACGACTTATGACTATTTAACTAAAACAATTTGAACATTTTACTTCATGTTAGCTTGGATTGAACATTGAAGAGCTGGAAGAAATAGAAGACGATGCAGGATTGGGAAACGGAGGATTAGGAAGGCTGGCTGCTTGTTTCCTTGATTCCATGGCAACTCTGGGGCTTGCTGCTTATGGTTACGGATTGAGATACGATTATGGTATCTTTACACAGAAGATTCAAAACGGATGGCAGGCTAGATTTGCCAAATTGTATTTAACTATAGTTGCAATGTGTTGTTGCATTTGCTTAATTGCTTGGGAGTTAATAATACAAACATTCATTTATTAAACGCATTTTATTTTGATAACAACTGAATTCAAGCAATTCTAGATTAACATTTAATCACGTTTATGTATAGCATTTTATTTATTATAATTTTTTGTTTACATATTTTTAGCATTGCACAAATTAATTAATTTTCTAATGAATCTCTGTTAACTAAATCTAGGCAGAAGAACCAGACGACTGGTTGAAATATGGCAACCCATGGGAGAAGGCTCGTCCAGAGTACACCATCCCAATACAGTTCTATGGCTGGGTGGATAACACACCGCAAGGTCCCATGTGGAAAGATACCAAGGTAATTGGATGTGGTGTGGTGTGGTGTGGAGAGGTATGTGACGTCATGTGATGTGTTGTGAGGTGATGTGTTGTGATACAAACTTAGTACATGCCTCTTTTGCTACTCTTGCTTCTGAATTGTTTTTTTTTTTGAAAACTTCAAAGTCATTTACGTCAAAGTGGTCAGTGCTGCTATCATTTCATTTACTTTTTAAACTTTTCCACTTAACTCACCACTGTTCATGTCCATTGTATGCACGATTCTGTAATTATGAAAATGATGACAGCGATGATGATGATGAGGATGGTTGTCTCGAGAGAAACGCACGTTTGTATGTAACGCGCTAACATTTCTACATAAAGTTAACTTATTCGTGAAGTAAATAACAAATTCAAATTAATAAATATCAATTTTATGTAATTATTTAATATTTAAGATAGTTCTTAGGATTTTTGGTTGTATACATTGTATAGATTGGTTTTTGAGGTTACTTTGTTTTTTGATTGGTTTCTTTCTTGATTAACGCCTCAACATGGTTTTCTTCTGTGGCCATCACAATACTCGTTATATTGATGTGTGTGTGTGTGCGTGTGTGTGAGTGCCTGCATGTGTGTGTGTGTAGTTTTGATTCATCACCACAAACAAATGAAAATTTTTGCACTGTCAGACAGTTCTAGCCATGCCATACGACAGCCCAGTGCCTGGATACGCCAACAACGTCGTCAATACACTGAGGCTGTGGTCTGCTAAGGCACCTGCAAGCTTCAATCTGAAGTTCTGTTAGTAACCTGCTCGTTGTACTTGCATTCATCCAAATCGTATTACATTCATTATATATTTATATATACATAATTTTTATTTTAATTCTCATGGTAATTTTCAGCGTTTTAATGATTCTAAATGTGGTTATTTGTGCTTTTGTTGATGTGCGTTTGTCATAATTTCTCTCTCTCTCTCTCTCTCTCTCTCTCTCTCTCTCTCTCTCTCTATCTCTCTCTATCTATCTATCTATCTATCTATCTATCTCTATCTCTATTGTATTATCGCAAACTCCACATAATTTATTTATTTATTGATTGGCACTTGTAAACCTCCCCACAGTCAACAACGGCCAGTACATTGATGCCGTTTGCGATAGGAACATCGCTGAAAATATCTCAAAAGTCTTGTACCCCAATGATAATGTAAGTATGTTTGAAGTGGTGATGATGAGCATGTGAGTATTCGGCTATTAATAATAACCATCTCGATTATTAAGGTTTTTTTGATGAGGATGATCATAGTTTAGTTATGAATATTTGTGGCGTTAGTTGTGGCCTCAATTGAATACTTGATAAAAGTTGGTGTTTGGTTGCTCTGATTTCACGCTATTAATTTTTATTTGATGTTGTAAGTTCTTCGAGGGCAAAGAACTGCGACTGAAGCAGGAATACTTCTTGTGTGCTGCCACTTTGACAGACATCATCAGAAGGTTCAAGGCCTCCAAGTTTGGGTCAAGAGCAGCCATCAGAACAGACTTCAACCAGTTTCCTGATAAGGTATGAGATATTGCGATCAACGTTCAAGATTTGAAATTAAATAATTAAATTTTGTAAAGCTTTGTGCTGCCTACATTATATGATGAGGCAATTATGCTCAATGCAAATACTCATAGGTTTTTGTATAGACCTTGAGGAATGTTAGTACATTTGTATAGTTGAAATAGTTTTTTATAGTGCTTAATCAATTTTTTTATATTTATTTTTATTTGCAATATTTTTTTTAATTTTCAATAATTTGGCCCATTTGACTTGAAGGTAGCCATCCAACTGAACGATACCCACCCAGCACTAGCCATACCTGAACTCATGAGGACCTTTGTTGATGTTGAGAAGCTGCCCTGGGACCAGGTTAGAGCTCCAGGGATCCTTAGTTTATGCCTCATTCTCGCTTTTCATCATTTAAATGGTTTTACTGGGTTCGCTGTGAGAATTCTCATCAAATGTCATTAAGCTGAGTTACTTGAATGTTATTAACTTGGAATAAATTATTGAACTCTCAAACAAGGCCTGGTCGATAGTGACAAAAACATGCGCTTACACGAACCACACTGTTCTACCTGAGGCCCTGGAGAGGTGGCCTGTCCACTTGTTTGAGAACCTTCTCCCGCGCCATCTTCAGATCATCTACGAAATCAATGCCAAGTTTTTAGACGTACTTATTATTATTATTATTATATTAAATCATAGTTTTAAGTCGGTTAGCATTGTTTTTTATTATGACGCACTTTTATTATAATTTATCTTGCGTTGCATTTTAGAATTGTAGTTTACCTTTTCAATTTATCTCCAGATATGGTAATATGAATTCATATTTCAAAAAACATGAACATAGAACATAACATATCGCATCTCTCCCCTCAACTCAACCAGCTCGTCTCGAAGAAGTGGCCCGGTGATTTCGACCGTCTACGTCGCATGTCCCTCATAGAGGAGTGTCCGGAGAAGAAGATCAACATGGCACACCTGGCCATCGTTGGCAGTCACGTGATCAACGGGGTGGCCGCCATACACTCGGAAATTCTTAAGAAGACCACGTGAGTGGAGGATTTGTGATGCTTGATGGATGGATGGTGTGGTGGGAGGATGGATAGATGGATTGTGTGGTGGTGGGAGAGAGGGAGAGCATGTGAACATTAAGCAGTTGTCATTTGATAATCATGTACATGCATCTGAAGTTTTGAAGAAATAACGTTTTCTTGTTTTGCCTGCACAAAGACAGCATTTTTATTTATTTTCGCATTCAACAGGATAATTTTCTAAACTAATTCTCGAATTTCATTCAATTATTTTTAATATTTATTCATTCAGTTTCCATGATTTCTATGAGCTGTGGCCTGAGAAGTTTCAGAACAAAACAAATGGAATCACACCGAGACGCTGGCTGCTCCTCTGCAACTCCAATCTTGCTGATCTCATTGTCGAGGTCAGTCAGTCAGTCCATGCTACTACTTTATAATCTATCTTGATAATTACTATATAATTAATCACTTTATTATATTACTGAATACTTCATTACTATATTACTGTACTTCATCACGGTTACCATTGTTTAGCAGTAACATCCTGCCTATACTATATACTACTATTCTAGTACTACTGGACATGTGCTTTTTAGTCACTATTGATTGTGGGTCTGCCACTTTTCCATCACTGTCATTCTGAAGTTTCATCCATAGATATGATCTTTATGAGAATGATTGCGATGTCGATTGGTATGAATGAACCTTAACTTCATTGTAATGAAACGTTGATAATGACGACGGCCTTGATGCACCCCTCCACAGAAAATTGGAATGCACTGGATCACTCATCTCGATGAATTGAGAAGCTTGCAATCGTTGGTTGATGACAAAAGTTTCCTCATCAAACTCGTCAAAGTCAAGCAGGTTTGCATTTCAATTCTCATGTTTCCTTCATTCTATCCTAGCTTATGATCCTAAGGATAATTTCTGTAGATTATTTATAGTTTCATTATTTAGTTTGCTGGTAATATTTCTAGCTGGCAGCTACGGATTTCTCAACATAATAGGCGCACAGCTTTTAGTTATTTCATTAAATTATCACATTACAAGCAATGCTGCAAATCTGCCTTTAAATTTATAAGTTGCAATAATAAGCACATCATCATTACGTCATCATTACGTCATCATTATATCTTCATTATATCATCATTACGTCGTCATTATATCATCATTATATCATCATTACGTCATTATTACATTGTGAAAATGTTACATTTCTCTAAATGAAAATAATCTACTGCTGTTTGATGTGTTGATTGAGTTGGCCATTTTAATTTAATAAATTGATCCATTAATTGAGTGGGCTGTTGTTCATTAGTTGTTTATAGCTTAACTGTTGACGTTGGTTTCAATTTTGTTTTCATTGTTCTTAATATTTGAATTTTATGTCGTCGTTTCTAAAGGAGAACAAGATGAGGTTGGCTGCATTGATCAGTAAGGAGTTCAATGTCAAGGTCGATCCAACATCCATGTTTGACATGCAGGTCTGTTTGTTGTTGTTTTTGTTGTTGTTGTCGTTGTTGTTGTTGTTGCTGTGTACGCCTTTGTTGGTCTTGCTGTTGTTGTACATGCCTTCTTTGTTGGCGTTGTTTTCGTGTATGCTTTTGTTTGTGTTGTTGCGTAAATTGCTACAACGACGACCACAACACTTCCAACCTCAAACAACAACAACACGTCCAACATCACACAACAACAACACTTCCAACCTCAAACAACAACAACACGTCCAACATCACACAACAACAACACTTCCAACCTCAAACAACAACAACACGTCCAACATCACACAACAACAACACTTCCAACCTCAAACAACAACAACACGTCCAACATCACACAACAACAACACTTCCAACCTCAAACAACAACAACACGTCCAACATCACACAACAACAACACTTCCAACATCACACAACAACAACGACCACAATACTTCAAACGAAATTGTAGGTGAAACGTATCCACGAGTACAAACGCCAACTGCTCAACATCCTGCACATCATCACCATGTACAATAGGCTAAAGCAACAGCCAAACAGACCTTTTGTGCCTAGGACTGTCATGATTGGTGGAAAGGTCTGTCAATGCTGATGTTTGATTGGTTGATTGATCCTGATATGTGATTGGTTAATTGATGCTAATATGTTTCACCGATTGGATTAACTGATTCATTCATTAAATTATTAAACTGTTTTTTAGCCACTGGATGATTCTCGAATGATTTTAATTTTGCTTTCAATTAACATTTCACATGTTAACGATACAACGAAGCCTAATAAATTTTTATTTATTTGTGGAATGTTTTTCAACTGATGTCTCACGTGGAAATGATCCAATTCAGGCTGCTCCAGGCTACGATGTCGCCAAGTTGATCATCAAGCTCTTCAATAATGTTGGCCAGCGTGTCAACAACGATCCAGCGATCAACAACAAGCTGAAGTGCGTCTTCCTGGAGAACTACAGAGTCACTCTGGCGGAGAAGATCATTCCTGCCGCCGATCTCAGTGAACAGATATCTACTGCTGGCACTGAAGCCTCTGGCACTGGAAATATGAAGTTCATGGTCGGTTGGTGTTGGTTGGTCGGTTGGTTGGCTGGTTAGATAGATGGTCAGTTGGTTTGTTGGCTGTTAAATAAATGGTCAGTTGGCTAGTTGGATAGATGGTTAGATAGATGGTCAGTTGGTTGGATAGATGTCATTTGATTGTTCTGGTGGTATATCAGTTGGTCACCGATCAGTTGGCCAGTCCGTCTGATAGTTGATCAATCTGCTGTCTGTTTGTTAATTTTTTGTCAGCTGGTCACATTAATTTTGTGCTGCTTCCGCTTTATCATGCATGTTTATGATTACCTTTGTGCAAATGAGCACATACCTACCTTAGATAAATGTAACTTTCTTGACCACAGATGAACGGTGCTCTCACCATTGGAACATTGGATGGAGCGAACGTGGAGATGTTGGAAGAGATGGGTCCCGACAATATCTTCATCTTTGGAATGACTGTTGATGAAGTGGAAAAATTGGCTACTTCCGGGTTGGTTCTTTGTGGTTTTTTATTTTAATAAAGCTCTATGAGGTTAATTGCAGGGGTTGTTGTCAATCACCTCTGCAGTTTGGTGCAAGTGTGGCTGGCCTCAATTGAAATTTAGCTGGTTGAAGAATTTGTTTTGTTACCATCAGTTCAGTCCTTACTTTATTTTGCTACATCCAACTTAGTTACAATCCAATGAAATATTACGAGAGCAATGCGGAACTGAGGCAAGCCATCGAACAAATACACGGAGGCTACTACTGCCTGCCTGGCGAGCCCAACGATCTCTTCCACAAGCTCACTAACAATATCCTCCATCATGATAAGTTAGTTGCTTCTCGGATTGATTGATTAATTTATTGATTTATTGTTATAATTATCTAGCAAACTTAAAATGCATAGTGTCTTTTCATAAAGTTTATTGAATTATTTTATTATAAATACTGCGTTTCAGCCATTTTGAAATGGAGGTTGTGTGAGATAAATAACGTACATCCATCTATTTAACTGATAATTAACTATGGAGTATAAACTAATCAGGTACATGCTGTGTGCTGATTACGAAGCGTATGTTGCTGCCCAGGATAAAGTCAGTGAGACTTATGCCGTAAGTACTTTTTTTCTGTGGCGTGTGATGATAATGACGGAAGTTGTTAAGAGGACGACGACGATGACGAAGCTAGTCACACTAACGATTGAAATAAGGACGACGCTATTTACGATAATGAGGCTGATGACTTTGAAATGAAGCAATCGACCGCTACACTTGTCACACAGAACCAAGACAAGTGGACTCGCATGTCCCTCATGAACATAGCCGCTTCTGGAAAGTTCTCTTCAGACCGCACAATCGCCCAGTACGCCAGGGAAATATGGAGGGTTGAACCATCGTACGAGAAACTGCCCACTCCGTGTGAGAACCCTCTGAAGGAGCAGGCAGGCATAGAGGAAACCCACACTGCTTAATTAATCATCCGTGGGCTGAATGAGTGTGTGTGTGTGTGTGTGTGTGTGGGTGTGACACTCGAATGATTATTTCTGTGCGCTTGTGTGTGTGTGCGTGTGGTTCATGAATAATCATGTGTGTGGTGTGTGTGGCCATTGAACGTGTGTTTAGTTGGATGCATCTGGTCGTTGTGTGATTATTTATTTGTCAATTTATTTTTATTAATAACTATAATTATTTTGTTAGTTTATTCAAATTTCTGGTTCTTTAACTTAAATTAATTTTTGAAATGTTATCGTGTCAATGTTTGAAAAGAATTTTATTCTGCAATGAATTTTTTCTAAAATATTTGAAGGATCCTTTTTACGAATACTTGATAGTGCAATCATGATTGAAATTTTTCGCGGTCGTAATCAGACGATAGACAAAATCTGCTTTCATTTGAGTTCGTTTGTTATTATTACAACACGCTCTTAAAACTTTTAGTTCGGTAATTATTATACAAATAAGTCATCAGTAGTTACCTTTCCGTTGTTACCATCCATTCATTTTCGTCATTCATTTTTGCACGTGTACATTAATTTGCCTGAATGTTACTCACATAACTATTTATTACACGAGGTTACTTAGTCTAGGACTTCTTTACAACTGCATATTTTTGCCAACAACAATTTTATTTAGTTATTTATATTATTTTTTTTTATTTTATTTTTATAAATCCTTTCTCCAATTATGATAAACTATTTTTGCATCGTTGTGGACGGGTGCGTTGAATTTCGCAACATGCTGCAATCGCATTGCAACATGTTACAACCACATCACAACATGTTACAACTACATCGCAACATGTTGCAACTATATCGCAACATGCTACAACCGCATAGCAACATGTTACAACCGCATAGCAACATGTTACAACCACATAGTACATGCATACGTTTTTATTTTCCTTCCTCGATATATACAAAACTTAAAACAAATATACAAACAAAACAAACACGAGGTTGTTTGTATGTACCACACTTGCTAACTCAATGATCTTATTTATTTATTTATTTTATAACTATTATTGTTGTTTGAAATAATTGATACAATGGAAATAATATGCGAAACATCAAATTGGAATTTTGGAACAGTACCTCCGCTTGGTGTGACGTTGTTTGTTCATTCAACTATAATTGTTAATAAGAACGTTTGGATCCAATGCTTACTGATGAGTAACGACAAAGCTATGGAGTAAGCAATAAACAATTTTATTTCATGATGAAAATACACAATAAATCGGCTCCTCCCACACGTATACATTAGCGTAATAGAAATACAATTAGATTGTAAAAATATATTTAAAGATACAAACGTTTTACAGACGCGCGTAATTAATATTCATCAAAAACTAAACTTCATAAATGCATATGATCACGAAAATGGACGCAATAGTATAAAATGTGTAAATGGAAAAAGAATTTAAGATACAAAAATGTTTCTATTGCATTTTATTCGCATCATGTTATCTTTGTCCGTATCATAAAGGATGTATTCAGTTCAAACGTGTCTGAGGCACCAACGTATTTGGCTTAAATGTTTGGTTAGTTAACAAATTTATGTATAATTGTATAATATACAAGTTTGTATTAAATTGATCGTATAGTATACAAGTATTGATATATATATTAATATATAACCTACAAATGTTTTTATGATGGACGGACATGTTGATGAAAATATGTGTGTTATCAAAATGTATTATAGAAGTGTAGATAACGCATCCAGTGCATGAAGATGATGGTATATATATATATATATATATATATATATATATATATATTCTCACTTTTTTTCACAAATTCTCACCCTTTATAAACTCACGTACTCGTGGTTTCAAGTTGACTCACAAAATATATGTATAGTATATGTGGATAAAAAAAACCCGTAAAATATTGTTATGTGAAGAGTAAATTTGTATATAACAAAATCTGGACGCAATATATGCAAATGCACCTACCTGGTGAGAAAAAAAACAAACCATTACAACTCAAAAATAAAACGAAAATAAATAATAAATTTGAAAAAAAGTATTGAGAATTTTAAGTTGGAAGTTTTTGAAATAACACCAAATAAATGAAAAGAGGAAAACAGTTGGGTGTCATGATGTCATGATGAGTTATGTCGTACAGACACTTCGACAAGTTGTGTTAATAAAGTAATAAAAGGTTACGTAAAAAATAACAAATTCACGTTTATTCAAAAGATATTTACAAAAGTATATGCTTGTTCTATGCGCGCCATAGTGGCTTAAAGATGCTGCTTGGTAGCTTGTGGCAAAACATTAACCAATTAATCGAACGATTGATTGATTGATTGATCGATCGATCGGTTGATTGATTGATTGATTGTAATCATGTAATTAAAACTATGATGATCAAACCATTCACAGACAAAACAATACACGGATAGACAAAAACTTCAACATGAAAACAGCAAAAAATAATTTATTTGTTGAACACTTGTTGCAAATCATACACATATTTAAAATAAGCATATATTTTGAGAAAAAATTACTATACTCTAGACACATTCTACGTTTATAAAAAATATACTTAAAAATATACTTATTTTTGACCGTATATTTTAGAGTGATTTAGTTAGCCTGAGTTAAATTTTATTTAAGTTTGATAGGTTTAGAACACAACGTTGTGAAGAAAATGCTCAAAATTTGCACAAAAACAAATGCAGAAAAGCCAATAAATCAGATTATTGGTTAAAGATACCACTTTGGACAATTTTCGGTGTGGTCCGATTAACCGACTTCCAAAACATACGTGTTAACACGTATGAAACATGAAAAATAAGAGTATATTTAAATGCATATCCCATAAAACAAACAATTATCAAAATAAATATGAAATGATTACGAACACCAAATACGAAAAATTGAAATAGAGGTAACAAAAATGGAATGTGCAAAAATGAGATATAATCGTAGCTATGTATTTAAGAGAAACAACCTGTGTAAATGTAATTATATTAATTACTTATTACTATTAATTACCAAGTAATATAAATAAGGAACAATCTAGAAGAGAATATCAGCTGTAACTGAACTTGACCACGGATTGGGTGCGGCAGGGACCAAATAGTCCATTTCCCCGTTAATCAGGTCATGGTCACCGGCTTTAAAGTTGTAGTCGTCGTTCATTTGTTGACCTAAATTGAAAAAATTCTGATTGGTCGACCCGAATTCGAAATCTACTTGGTTTCTTGATTTGTAGGAAGCTAACGTTGCTGTTTAAAAAATGCAAATTGGTTGCTCTAAGTTCAACCGAAAATTAAAAACATTGAATGAATTTAAATGATTAAATTGAATAATTAAACAATTTTCCAACTAACAACTTCCAACGGATGGCGACTTCAACACATTTTTATTCTTCATCAAAAGTAGTTCTCCGCCGTTCATTGCTCGTTCGCGATCACCATCATTATCATCGTCATCATCTTCACCATCAACTTTGTAGTCATTGTAGCGGTACGATTGCTGATCATAATCATCATATGGATCAGCTGGGTACTCAAATATTTGTGGAGGAGTGTGTGGCCCTACAAAAGTCACTGCCTGTTCATCATTTTTGAAAGTGTTTAATTTACTCCTACTCTGTGTGTGACGTGTGCGTGTGTGTGTGTGTGTGTGTGTGTGTGTGTGTGTGGTGTGTGTGTGGGCAAGAAAGCGCGTGTATGTGTATTGAAATATCTGTACATTACGTACATATTCGTATGTGCGTACGTAAGTATGTGTGCATGTGCATAGTTGTAGTTAGGTACCTATATGTTAGGGTGTTAATATGAATGATTCTTCTGTCAGTGCTCTGTGTGGTTGGATGTAAATGTGTGTGCGTAAGCATCTATATACCTCTTAATGATCGTATTAATGTTTTGTTATTAGATGTTCTGACCAAACAACGATTATTCCATTTTAAATCTAAACAAGAAACTAACTTTTTTTGTCTTTGTCTTCTTCTCATTCTTTGCCAGTACAGACTTTCCATAAATAATTCCTTCCCCTTCAAAAGTGAATGTGCTTTTCGAACTTTCCACGGGTTCTCCTTCTTTCGATTCATCAAAAACACCATTGCCATAAATAGTACCAACGTTATTGGATGGTGGTGACGATGGTGACGTTGATGACGATGATGACGATGATGACGTTACTGATGGTGGTGATTTTTTAAAAGCAGATGGTGGAGGAGAATGCTGCCTAGACTTCGAATACTTTGAAGGTGATGATGATGATGACACAGATGATGATGACGTTGAACTAGGGGATCTTGGTTGATGAGTGTAATGTTGTTGTGCGTTGATGTTGTTTGTATTGTTGTTATTGACGTAACTGATATTAGTATCGACAACTTCATCCATCATAATACTATCTATGTTTGTTACTGGAACATCGTCGTCGTCATCACCATCATTATTCTTTCTGTTGTTTTGATAAGAAGTACCATGCACTTGTTGGTTGTTGTTAGACGATGGTTTTCTGTTTGATGTGCTGTTGTTTGTTTTGTGAAGATTGGTGATGTTGTTGTAAGGAGCGACCGTTTGAGAGATTAAATTGGAAGATGATCTTATTAGTAAGCTGCCTGGTTTGTTTACACTGTTGTGGTTGATGTTGTCGTCATGGTTGATGTTGTTGTTGTTATTTTTAATGTTATGTGCAGTCGGTTGTTGTTGTACAGGCGTTGCTGTCTTTGAAAGACTTTGGTAAGATGTCGGTAAGTTGGAGACAGTACGTGGAGAATTGTACGTTTTGTAATTTGGTTCATTTTTATTTTTGCTCTGTTTCATATTATTGTCCGTGTTGATTTGTTGTTGTATTGAAGTTGAAACCAAAATATCTGGCAAATTTATGTCGTTGTTGACAACTTGGTTTCTTCCATGTTTTCCAGAAATAACGCTCTTCTGCTCAATGTTGTTGGTTATATTCCTCGACTGATTTGATGGTTTTTTTGGATCACCTGTTTTTGCTTTCGCACTATAATATTTGGAGTTGTGTAAGGACATCATATCTCCCCTGTCCAGATGATCAACTGTATCCAAACAACTTTTCTCAAACACTGACTTGGTCAATTTTACTTGATTTTCTTTCGGAAATTCGTCAACTTCTGACAAGGACAATCTTTGCGACTTATTAGGTGCAGTTTGGTTCGTATGTCCGGAATGAACCTCACTAACGTTCAACAAACTTTGACTAGATTTTTTTATTTTCTTGTTATTGTTAACAAAAGCGCTATCCAAACTGTTGCTGCTAATGATACTATGATTTTCAGAATATAAGTTATCGTAGCTGTTTAACCATAAATATCTGTCACCGCCTTTGTCTGAAGTAAATTTTCGATTAGCTCTTGCATTGGTAGAACAATGATAGCTAAACTGGTCGTTAAAGTTGCGCTGATTGTTTGCTGTCGTGCTGTCGTGAGAGATATTACGAACTTCTTCATTGTTCTTAGAATTTACACTTCGCGTTAAAGTGATCGCGTTCAATTTGCTGTTATTATCGCTCATGTTAAGAATATTCATATTTTGGTTATTAAGGTTTTTGTTTTTGTTGTTATTGCTGTTGTGAAACAAGCCACTTTTTATTACTGGCTGATTGTTATTACTGTTGTTGATGATCTTACACGCTGTTTTGTTATTGTTTGTATAAAAATTCGATTTAATTTTGAATTTACTATCTTTCTCGATGTTGACTAGAGATGAAAACTTTTTAAGCAGCTTACCAACAAATCCTCTCCCATATTCAACCTCTCCCAACGGCCTATCCTCATTTTTTATTTCTTCACTTAATTTCTTTATCATCTGATCGTCATTATCATAATCGCCATCGTCATTTAACGATAGTCTGGCTCTTCTTACTTCCAGATCAGATCTCAAAATTGGATTGCTTATGATGGGAATCAATCTTTCTGTGTTGTTGTCGATTTCGCTGCTGTTTAATTCGTCGTTGTAGATGTCTAGATAGGTGTTTATTTCATTGAGGTTAGGAACAGAGGAATGCATATGCCGATCCCTCCTTAATAATTTATTAAAAACAGCTATGTCATCTTCGTCGTTGTTGCAGTTTAAATATTTCCTTTCCAAACTGTTACCACGTTGATACCTTTCCAAGCTGTTATTCTTTGAACTTTGACCCGGTCTTTGCTCCTGTCGCTTACGTAGCACTTCTAACTTCCACTGCGGAATAGTTGGAAGTGTTGAATCAACACTACATAATTTTTCCTTTCTTTTTTTCAAAATGTTCCATTTCCAATCTGGAATGAATAAGTTTGTTGTTGACGACGCCGTTGGTTTCACTTGCACTTTTGTTTTGTTATTCATCCTTAAACCTGACGATGTAAAGTGATATGACAGGATTAACCATCAATGAGCTAAGGTGAAAGATCGTAAGTTCAAAGTTCACAACACTTATTCTGTTCAGCTTTCAAGATTAGTAATCACTGTAGTGTAGTAGTAATGGTAGTGTAGTAGCAACCAATGAATAGCTTGTGCTTGTTGTGTTGTATTCATTGCTCTGTTAATTTGATGTGATTATTAAGCTGTAATTAAATAAAAATTTGCAAGTTACAACAAACGATAGATTATGATAATTAGTTTCATGATCATATTGAAAATTGTAAAGAACGAAGACTACAAACTCTGTCCGTTATATAACACAATCAACGACGTTTGTATTCATCAGCAATCAAATACAGGTGTGAAAAGGTGTTTTGCCATTAGCATCTGGGTAGTGAGAGTTAAATTGATCTTTGAAAAGTATTAAGTAAAAATTTTAAAACTGTAACTGAAGTAAAATCAAAATATTTAACCAAACTTATTGCCAAAAAACTTCAGATTACAAAAAAATATGCTTGCTTTATAGTTATCATTTGTTTATTAATTTTTAGTTTTAAATAAAATCTTGACTATTATACATTAAACTCAATTTTTCAGGTATTTTTTGTAATTAATTTTACTTGATTCGATTTGATTGAATTCATGTTATTGAATTATAAGTATATTATTGTAATCAAAATAAACATTATTATATATCTTTGGTAAAAATATTTTGTGTAAAGCAAAATTATCTTTTAAATTTTCTTGACACATAAGTAGGAAGTGACGTAGTGTTTTGGCTACGGCTAATAATAAAATTGACGTGGCATACGGAATAAAAATATTTTTTCTTCCCAACGAAAATTGCCAACTTTTCCAACATTATCATAATTCAATTTGTTTACTAATTTTATAATTTTTGCCGTCAGGAAATTTTATTTCAATTTTTCTAAGTCATGGGTCTGACGATATCTAATTTGTTCAGCCGCTTGTTTGGCAAAAAACAGATGCGAATTCTTATGGGTTGGTTCTCCCTTTCTGTTTATTTAGTGTGACAGTATCGAATTTTCTATGTTTAAAATTTTTTAAGTTTTAAAATTCTAATGATGTGTTATTTAATCGTTCAATTGTTCAGTTGGGCTTGATGCTGCTGGTAAAACAACCATACTGTACAAGCTGAAACTTGGAGAAATCGTAACTACTATTCCGACTATTGGTTGGTTTCTTGTTTATTTTCCTTCTCTCAACACCTTTTTATTTTATATAGTTATTAGTCTAGTAAAAGATAACTCATATTCTACTAAAAAATAAATAATTTTGAAATTTATGAAAACAGGCTTCAATGTTGAAACAGTTGAATATAAAAACATCAGTTTTACAGTTTGGGATGTGGGTGGTCAAGACAAAATCAGACCACTGTGGAGGCATTACTTTCAGAATACTCAGGTGATTAATTTGTTAATTTCTCTGACGTAGGTAGTTAAGTTGGTCGTTTATCTCTTAATTATAAGCTTACTTTGTCACAACATGTCGATAACATTTATATTTATGTTACATGTTTGAAAATGCTCTAAAATTATAAATGTACATAAATACACATGCATCCATATTCATATATAATTAATTAATTTTTGTTATACCAGGGTCTCATATTTGTGGTTGACAGTAACGATAGGGAAAGAGCATTAGAGGCCAGAGAAGAATTGACTAAAATGGTTGATATGTTTTCATGTTGTTCATTTATTTATTTTCACTAGTCATATAAAGAGAAATTGTTGCTATTGCTGTTCTTAAATATTTAAACATATCTTAACAAAATTTTCCAGAGTGGATTTTTTTTATGTAACTTTTAAAAATTTTAAATAAAATTGGCTAACTGTTCACCTTTTCAGTCAAATTAAAGCTAGCTTTATACTAAGTTGGTTGACTACTTAATTGCGAGGATACATATTTTTGAATTTTGAAAATGGTCTTTTCTAGCTACAAGAAGATGAGCTACGAGATGCTGTACTACTGATCTTTGCAAACAAACAAGACCTCCCCAATGCAATGACTGTTGCAGAAATTACTGAAAAACTTGGATTGAATCAACTTCGAGCCAGAACTGTGAGTCTTGTTTTTTATAACATTTGCTTCAACTTGAGGCAACTTTTTTCATAAACTTATTTGCTCAATTGGGCATTCTTATGGAACTAATTTTTAGGCAATAAATAAGTTTATTTTTCAGTTTTTAAATTTTTTTTTTATCACAATTTGTTAATAAAAATTATTTGTTCCTTAATTTGTTAATTCCTCAGTGGTAATCCCAAGCAGCAGTGCCACCCCAAGGAGATGTCCCCTATGAAGGACTTGACTGGTTATCTAATGAGCTCTCCAAGCGTTGATTTATCTTCAATTAATTCTATTTATTCATTCATTCAACATATTTTGTCTTATAAATTATATTTAATGCTGTCTTTTTTGCTAGATTGTTGTAATTGTTGTTGTTGCTACCAACAAATTTTAATATTATAATTATGATTCTTCTTACCATTCATTATTAATGTGGTTTAATCTCTGGCATAGCGTTAAAATTGGGAACCGTTTTAAAGCAACATCATCTTTTTGTTGATTGATTTCAATGGAGTAGATTTTTTTCTATGGGGTTTGTTTTAGTCTTCTGTGTCCTACCATTTTTCCAATATTATTTTTGTAGAAACATGTTTTGTTTTGTTTGGAAACATGTTTTGTTCAAATTGTAAAAATGATTACTCGCTATTTTTCCAATCCTTTTACGTCATACAGATGCGTTGTAATATTAATTTCGAGGTTTAAATGCCCATGCACTAGTTCATTAACTTAATATTTGTTTCCCGAAAATAAAGTATCTATGAGATGAGGTTGAGGACTGATTTGTTGCCATTTTTACGCGTTTGTGCATAGAGTGTCGGTCGTATTTGTATTACCATACTCAATAAAATAATTTTTGAATCTAGTGTCATTTGTGTTTGTCGATACTAAACCAGGCAGGTAAACCAGACAATAATTTCAATTTGTGGTTACATCTAACCGCGCTTGCGTGGGCAGCTGATTGTGAATATGTGTGCGTTCTTGTTTGAGACTTTGCCAATCTTGATATGAGCTACAAACTAAAATGCATAATCTAAAATGCCTTAATTTAATATATTTATAAAAACGTTAAGAAGGTAACAAGCATTTGATTTGAAGACAAACCTTGAGCCAGTAAAATTATTAGGTGTAAACAGAAAAGGAGCTACGAAAGGAGAGTATGAACGTTATCTCAATCTTGCGTGGGCAGCTGATTGTAAATGTGTGTGTGTGTTTGTGTGTGTGTGTGTGTGTGTTTGAAACTTGGGCAATCTTGATTTGAGCTACAAACTTGGATCAGAAAATTCATAATCTAAAATGCCTTAATTTAATATATTTATAGAAACGTTAAGAAGGTAACAAGCATTTGATTTGAAGACAAACCTTGAGACAGTAAAATTATTAGGTGTAAAAAAGATCCACGAGAGGAGAGTATGAACGTTATCTCAACCGCCATGTAATCTTGTTCTGTTCATTATTTACAGGAAAAATAAATACATTTCAGTTTTCACTCATAATCTACATTAGTTGGAGCAAGTATTTGTTGCCCGAAAATTGTATCCTGCTGAAATATTTAACTCACTGAATGTGCATGTTCCAGTTTATGCTCTCGATCCTTGGTATAAATTGATCATATAAATCTTAAGCTAGCGCTGGCTTTTAACGATTTACTAACTGAGCTAAACTGGAACATTCATTTTTTAAGTCCAAATCAATCGCTTATTTACAAGGACAGTTTTTGGTGTTTTTTGCTGTCTTATAGCAAATGCGATGCCTCTTGGGAATTAAAGACGTTTGGATGCGAATGCTGTGTCAGTTGGAGTTAGACGTATCTGTGCAGAAACCGCGCTTTCATCTTTTTCGGGGTCCAGTCAGAACATTTCGCATCAACCAAAGTATTTGTTTATCAACTTTTAGACACCAAATTTAGACTGACATTTAAGTGTTTAAATTAAATAAGTCCTCAAAGGAATACGCGATGCGACGCTAATCAAGGAACTGAGAAAAATTTTTAAAAATGATTGTGCTTCAATGTTTTGAAGAACTTTGTTAACTCTCTCCTTAAATGCGAATGCATTTGCATATATATATAATATATGCTGGTAGAAGATCGAATTCTTGACAATATGTAATAAATTCCACCGATTTATTAGTGTTTATCAACTTATATTCGAATTTTTCAATACAAAAGAAAAAATTTTTTAAGACAAATTGAAAAATTCGAATATAAGTTGATAAACACTAATAAGTCGGTGGAATTTATTACGTATAAAATATATATATATATATATATATATAGAATAGTATTATGGCAAATTGTTAAAAAAGTTGTATTGATAAATTTTCAGTAAATGATGGATCAGTTTTGTGCCGCTAATAATATAGTAATAAAATAATAATAAATTTAGCTGCAATAATAAAGACTAAAAAAATTGAAACATTATTTATTTCATAAATTATATCATACCAAACTTTACTTTATACAATTGCTATTTCATAATCAGGCACATTGACGTAGCAAGCCAATTTATGTGGAATCATAAAAGCCTATTATAAACATGCTCTCCTCCCAATAAATTAAATCTTAGTCTGATTTATGCTCGAAACAGCAGCCCATGCACTTTGCATCATTTTGGTGCATCACCACCTTCACTGGAGGAGACGATATTACGAATTGGATATGATTTGCATGTTGATACTATATTCTATTCAATTCAAATAAACTTTTATTCAGCAAAGTATTATAAAAATAAACACCTGACTAGGAGACAGGAAGTTCTCACTTGTTGGGCCACCGAAATAAAAGTTTGAACCAAACAATTCGACAAATTTAACAAAAATTATGAAAAAGGTTAATATAAAAAAGGTAAATTTATATTTGTAAACATAAACTAATTGGCAGCTTCTAATAAATAAAATTATAAAACTAAATAACATGGCTTGAACTAATATAATTAGACAAAAACTTTAATCAACCATTAATGAAAGGGGAAATGACAAGAAACATTGAAAACTGAATGAATAAAAAAGTTTGTGCAAAGCTTAAGGAAAATCTGTGCTATGTCTCAAAAGTATTGAACGATCATTGATTAAGTGGTTAAATTAATTTCGCAACAAAGGACAGTAACTTACTTTAAACAATTTATAAAAAGAACATTAAAGTATAAAGAATATGTAATAGGTGAACTTTCAAAATTGTGGATGACTAACATGATCACATCTAAATAAACCAAACAAAATACGAATAAGAAAATTTTGACAGATTGATAATTCGAATATTAGATTTTGTAGTGAAACCACAAATTGAAATACTGTAACAAAACAATGGTAAAACAATATAATTATATAAATAATGTAAGAAAAATATATTGAGGATACTATATATAAATTTATTGGATAGTTTAATGTAAGTTATATAAAAGTGATATATATATATATATATGATATAATATATATTATATACGTATATTTATGTATGTTTATATGCATACATAGTGTAGCGCATAACACGGTTGTGTGCGTGGTAATTCAGATTTAAACAATTTTCGCTTTTCGTCGGATTCGTTTTAAAGTTCATTATCAGAGTATCAATCAAACATTCACATTCTGGTCTTGGTTTTAGATTGTCTCTAAAGAAGTGAAGATGAGCGAATCGAAAAACTTTGGAAAGGTTTTCCAGCGAACCGTAACTAGAACGAAAGAAAAGGTTAGCAATCATATGAATGATCATCAATCACAACAAAGTAAAACATAAGGACTAAACTCATAACATAGCTCATATTAAATTATTAATTATAATAAATAAATAATGGAATAGTTATGGAACTGATGAACAAGAACATGTGCTTCACATACTTACATAAATAATATATATACAATACATCCACCATCAATCAACTCTTGTCTCATCTCAGTTGTCAATTACTGTTGTGTTTAGTTAGTTACCTGCATTGCACTTGCATGTTGTTCTGTACTCTTACAGTACAGTGTGCAGTACTGTACTGCAGTCAGTGGAGTGTAATGTAGAGTCAGTTGAGTGGAGTAGAGTGTACATTATGTACAGAGGTAAGTTGTAATATGTGCAGCAAGGAAGTCTTCTAGAAATTAGGGTACATAGTTTCGTTTGTTCTTGTTGATATCATTTTTTAATGTATCATTTCATTACTGGATCACTGTCAGTCAGTTTTGTATGTCTAATGGTCATGCTTATTTTTATATAATTTTAATATAAAGATGTATGTAAATTTAACAAATCACACAGGTCTTGAGAAACCTGGGTAAATCAGACGTAACAATTGATGACCATTTTGAGGAGCACTATCGTAATTTCAATGCACAGCAGGTAGCAATTTCTTTCACTTGTCAATCATTTAAATTTAAAAATTGTCAAAGTTCTCATATATGCCTCATCCATGTCTTATAATGTAATGGTAGAATTAACCAAGAAGCTGAGCATATTTTGGCAAAGAGCACTTTTATTTTGTGTTATTTTTGTCTGTGGTGTTACTATTATTTTAATTTTTATTTACTGATACTGAAATTAATAAATGATCAGCAAAATGTTTAAATGAAAACATAATCCAAAAAACAAATTGTTAATTAATTAAAATCTCTGCCTAATCAAATTGTGAATATTATTTAATAAACCATAATTAAATGTCAAATTGATTTAAAGTAAGTAGGCCAGTTACCAATGTGGTTCATTATATTCAGTTTTGTTGTTAAATTGTCAATTAACAATTTTTTAGCATGCTGATTTATGTTTGACCATATTGTTCTTATTTCAGATTTTAAGTAAAAGAATTGTGTAAATGTTTTTTGTATGCTAATTTTTATGCACATGTCAATCATACAGTTAGGTAAATTTACTCATCTATAATGTTTTCAAATGTATTTCAAACATTGTAGGGTTATGCATACTTGAATTGAGCATGTTATCAAGTTGTATGAAGGAAAAAAATGTTTCATTCTTCAATGCATATCCCTTTTCAATTTAACACTTTTGAATTCCAATGAAAGTGCTATCAGACTACAACTTTTAATCTTTTCTACTAATGATTTTTTTGTTGTTTTTTTAATGTTTCTGCTAATTGGCAGTGCTAATTACTTGAAGTAATTCAATTTACTCAATTGGGTTGACAGATAAGAGTTTACACTTTGTTTACTTTAATGTTGTGTTACAATGCAGATGTGAGTCAGATTTATAGAGATGCAATTATATTTACATTTATTAAACAAATCACTTTTCTTGAATTAGTTCCTAATATTGTTCAACGTTGGATTACTAAGGCACACGAACTGCCTGCACTTATTAACAAAAAAACCATCCCACCACAAACGAGAGAGAGAGAGAGAGAGAGAGAGAGAGAGCCACAAACAAGCACACATACATGCTAAGACAGACAAAGACAGACAGATGCATCAACGCATGCCTCACATCAACGGTGCCTCCACTTGTTTACATAGAAGAAAATTAAACATTTTCTCATGCTATAAAATGGTTCCATTCATTCCTCTGATCATCTATCAGCTTTGAAAATTTGTTGACAGTAACGTTTTGCAACCATTATCGTTGCTGTAGCTTTATACACATGTGTTATATGTTTACAAAATGTTACATCTTTTCAGTAGTGGATCCAGAAATGTGCAATAGGGGGTTATTTTCAGAATTCCAAAGTTCATAAGTTGGTGATGTGGTTGTTATATCTTTACATAAGCTATATTTCTACACACTGGGATACTGTTTGGATTATGGATATTATTTTTCTTACTTTCATTAAAATTTTACCATATTGAATTTCCTCGGTTTTTGGCCTAAATACTGTAATTTCATTTTAATAACTTCCTTTACCATTGCTGAAAACTGCAAAATTGTTCAAATTATTTCATTTTATTTTTACAAAATTCTAGATAAATCGTTTCACTCATTAACTTAGGCTTCAAAATTTGCATAGCTAATCTCTGCTCTGGGCACTCACTTGGGAGGAATGCATTTTTGATTTCTGCAACTTGCAGCAACTGCTGTGTCGTTACTCTTGGCGTGACCGTCAAATGAACATCCTTGGATTGAATGGAATGGAATACAAGCTCCAATCACAAACTCAGCATGCATTCGAACCACGTCTGCATGTAACTTCCTTTAAAATATAAAAAAATGTTTTTTTTTAACCATCTGAGCTGCTTTCTTCATTCAACCATGAGTTCTCATGTGTTGGCATTATTAATGGCATTATTTATAATGTTCAATCTTGTAATTGTGATGATATAATAATGATCATTATTAATTTTTTTATCTAGCATTAACTTAAATGCTGATTGAGTTATTATGCATCAGCACTATCCTGGTTATTATTACTATTATTATCTAATGTTATTATTATTTTTATTGTTGTTGTGCCTCAGTGTTATGGTTGATTTTTGTTTTTATTATTATTATTTTTGGGCTCATCAATTTCTTGTTGAGATCAAATTATCTCTTCAATCTGGTGGCAAATTATTTATTATTGTTATTATTGTTGTTGTTGTTGTTGTTATTATTATTAACATACTCTCTACAAATATAAATTGGTTTGTTATGTACAATGAGTTTAATGTTATTGTTTTTACTTATTGTTGTTATTATGGTTATTATTTGTTGTTACTGTTGTCATCATTTGTTATTATCGTTGTTATTGTTATTTGGAATTTTATATTCCTATAAATATTATTGTTAATAAAATAATTTATCATTAATTTGATACAACTTCAATTGTTCCACCGTTTTACATCAGGATTTATATATTTAGTACACAGTATTTTTTGGTAATTTAAGAATTATCATTTTCATCATATCTGCATCTTATTTTTTATTTTTATTTCAAAAATTTATAAAGCGCCAATTAAAAAAAGAAAAAATTTCAAAAGCGCTACTTTATAGTCGAAAGAATAAACAATTGTTTGAGTACGTGTACATAATAACGAAACAAAAATCAAATCGAAAACAAATAAGTCTTGAGATTCTTCTTGAAAGCATCCATGTTCATTTCCGGCTTCTTCAGGGACTCTGGTAGACCATTTCATAACACTGGATCCGCAACAGCAATCCCTCGTGCACCAATACACAAGTGAGCACTGTTTGCTATCATTAAATTTGAGCAATCACTTCTCAAGCGAATGCCATCTATGGTCACTGATTTTTTCTTGATTATTTCTAACAAATATTTGGGCAAGATTCCTTTCATAGCTTTATACATCAAGATACACATTTTAAAAATTATCCGTTTTTCCACATTCAGCCAATGAAGATCTTTTAGAGTCTGACTCATATGATCGAACTTCAATCCTCCAACTATAACCTTCGCAGCTCTATTCTGTATGGATTGCAGTACTTTAATTGATTTCTTTGGGAGGCCATGAAACAGACTATTACAATAGTCCAACCGCGAGTGAATGAAAGCATGAATCAATGTCTGTGTGGCTGATCTATCTAAATAGCTTCGAATGCGATATAATCTGTGCAACTGATATGTACATGACGAAGAGAGCATTTTCAAGTGATGTTTCATCGATAGATTTGAATCCAAGACAAAGCCCAAATTTGTTACGCTTTCACTGAGTTCTATCTCTTGGCCACCGACATTTACCGAACTGATGTTAATTTTCGCTAACTGCTGCCGAGTTGCCACCGGCATAAACTTAGATTTGCATTGATTCAATTTTAATCCATTGTTCGACATCCAGGTATCAACCTCAGATAAGCACATTACCAGTCTTAGAACCTCCTGTTTGAATGATTCTGGTTTACTCGTCAACGTAACCTGGATATCATCGGCATATGCATAACACTTAAAATCATAAGATTCAATAATCTTCATAAATTCCGAAGTATACAGTATAAAAAGGATCGGCCCCAATACTGAACCCTGCGGAACTCCATATGAAATTGAACCAACTTTGGATGAAACATCACCAAATCGAACAACCTGCGTTCGTCCGACCAAATATGATTTAAACCATTCAATTGTTACTCCAGTTATTCCAAAATCATGTCATCATCATCATCATATTTTTAATCAGTCATAATTTGTTTGCAGTTTGTAGTAGTCACTTTCCAGAAAAATCTGACATCATCATTGCTCCATCGTCACCAACATTTTCATAATAATTTTTTCACCATCATTGCGAACATCTATATAATAACTTATTTAATGTCACCAACATCACCACCACCATCATCATGATAATTTATCTCATCATCATCATCATCATCATCATTATGCTGATCTTCATCATAATAATCTTCTTCATCATCATCACAGCAGATGTGTTACTCAGTTGCATATGATTATTATTATTATTGTTGTTATTATTGAGTCGTTATTCTTATTTTTATCATAGCCAATACAGCAAATTATGTCAATGCAGATTCTCTGAACTGTATGCTTACATGAATGTGAGTTGCTGTGACCTATTTAGTATTCTCATCTCATCTTCCATCACTCACTCTCAAACCATTCACAGCTCATGTTATTTTTTGTTGACACTCATAAAACATTTGTAGGTGCGTAAAATGTAACGGAATAATGGATTTTATTATTAAGTTGTCAGGGTTTTTCACATGAGAATACGATAAAAGGATCTCCGGCTTGTCGTTTAACACGTATTCATAATTTGCTGTTTGTGTGTCGTCGGTGCCTCTGAACTTTGAATAAGTGTAATTTACCTTTAACTTTTTTGTTACTTCAATTCAGTCACAGGTTGTCGATAGGTATAATTCGAAAGTTCACAACCATTTTATATAATTATAATATTAAGATTGCAAACTTATTATTCATCTAATACAGCGTTTCATTTTTTTTTTATAAAAGCTACGTGAGTTAGTTAACATTTTGACTATATAAGAGTGCACAATATGTACAGACTACGTAGAACTACATAATTGTACACAGCGTGCACCAGCATCCTAGCTATAAAGTATTGATGCACACAGTAACGTAATTGCACATTAACATTCTTCAGATTGCAGCCATGAAGTTTCAGAAAGAACTTAAAAGGTATCACAGCAATTTGACAGGTTTGTTTGTTTGTTTGTTTGTTTGTTTGTTTGTTTGTTTGTTTGTTTGTTTGTTTGTTTGTTTGTTTGTTTGTTTGTTTGTTTGTTTGTTTGTTTGTTTGTTTGTTTGTTTGTTTGTTTGTTTGTTTGTTTGTTTGTTTGTTTGTTTGTTTGTTTGTTTGTTTGTTTGTTTGTTTGTTTGTTTGTTTGTTTGTTTGTTTGTTTGTTTGTTTGTTTGTTTGTTTGTTTGTTTGTTTGTTTGTTTGTTTGTTTGTTTGTTTGTTTGTTTGTTTGTTTGTTTGTTTGTTTGTTTGTTTGTTTGTTGCTGACATTATTGTTAGCTTCTGCCAATAAAAATCATGAAATTAATTAAATGGATTTTTAGTTATATGTATAGTTTTTTGTTTTAATTTTTTTCAATTTTTAGCTTTTTTGAATGTTTGAATTTCGTTGTTAATATTCACGTAAAGCACCTCAGGATGAAATGCAACGAAGTACATATGTTCTATATGTTCACCATATGTTACGTTCTTTGGCTTTCCACAAGATGGCTTTAATATTTACTCACACTGCTTTGATTTCCCAATATCTGGATCAGATCATATTTCAATGCATCTTCATATGCTTCCTATCAATAATCCACTTGTCAGTTTTTTCTCTCTTCTTCAGATAACTTTTTAACTGAATGAACTAGAAATAGTTTGAATCCATGATCACATCAGTTTATGAATTAAATAAAAAATTAATTGGCCGTTTAAAATCAATTTGTTTGCTTAGTTTACTTAATTGTCTTCATCATATTCATTGTCTTCATCATCACCCATAATATTTTTATGGGACTAACTCTAAACTCAATGTACAAAGCTATAATGTTTCTTCTAGTAATTCACAACGGTTGTATATTTGAGTAATGTGTCTAGGCCCACCTTATTTTTTTTCACCATTGCCTTTCTTGCATATTCCTGGTGCTCCTATTTGGACTGCAACTTGCTCACTCTTCCACTTCGTCGCAACACCATGTCTGCAACAGGCAACAAACCCTAAACCCAGCTTTCACATTTTTCCTCCAAAGTTTCAACCACATTTAGTTTTTCTCTACCAACCCCATTAATGTTTACATAGTAAATCGCGTAAATTGCTTTCATTTTCAATTTCATTTTATCTGTCGCGTTATCTGGGGGTTGAATAATCAAAATACGGCATATCACTGGCGAGCATGTTAAATTACCAGCTTATGTAATACAATTCATGGTTCTGGCGCCCCCAGCACACAGTATGGTGCACACCTGTGAAAACCTTTCATGAATATCTCGCTCAATGATATGAGGCAATAGTTTGTTTTCAAAAGTTTGCAAAATGCAGCTTAACAAAATAGACGTTGTTGATGTGTGCGGGTAACACTCAAGTAACCTTAAAAAAAGCTTCACTTATCAGCTCTATCTTATTGAGTTGGATGTTTGGATCTACAATCAAATCTGTTTTGGCTTTCTCGATGGATATAAGCATTGTTGAATGGTTTCGTTTTTAAATGATTCTAAATTTTCCAAATGTTCATATGCTGATTTGATATAACGAGTGTAAAAATGTGATAACAATTTTTATTAAAAGTTTTAATATTTTTATTACCACATAAACAAAAGGTGATAAAAGAGATGAGGATGATGATGATGAGGATGATGATAATGATGAAAGCATGTCATTGACCTTGTTGAAATGATTGTTCACAATATTCTGCAGCCGGAATTATATATTAACTTTATACTGTATTTTGTATGGTAATATAATTTTTCAATTTTCATATGCTCGGATAATATGATGGTATGGTGATGGTTGTTCATTTGTTTATGAACAAACACTGCACCGAAACATGCATGTGCGTATCTGTGTGTTTGTGTGCGTGCATGCTCATGTATGTGCTCGCTTGTTTGTGTGCATGTATGCATGCCTGTTATAAACAATTATCTATGTGATTGTAGACTGACTTGTACATGTGTCACATATTTCTGTCTAACTGTCATTGATGACTAGTCTTGTAATTTTAAAGTTGTCTGTCTCTGTATGATGTTGACTCCTATCATGGATGTCGTTATTTTGCTCTTGTGTCAATAATATATATATATATATACACACATACATATAGTTTTTTTATAACATCCACATTGGCATAACGACCAGGTTATAAAAAGAAATCAGTATTAATGTGAACCCATTAAATTCTGTAAAAAAAAAGCCAAGTGCATCAAGATAATTCAGCATGCAGTAATCCATTGGACCTGTTTATTTTGCTACCCTTTGAACAATTGTTTTGTCCTTAACGAAATGTAAATTATAAAGAAAACTAAATTTTGGAAACTTGAAAAGTGTTTTTGATATTTTATTACATGCACACAAAATATTGAAATATTAAAACGACACCCATCCCTAACGTGTGTGTGTGTGTGTGTGTGTGTGTGTGTGTGTGTGTGTGTGTGTGTGTGTGTGCGTGTGCGTGCGTGCGATATTTTCAAAACTTATTATTTAGCGACATTACAATTATGCACTCTACTGATCCAATATTGCTTTATCATTTCTTAACAGTTTCCACTTCTCAATTTCGATAAGCTTATATTCATAACCTGTCTATGTTGATAATAATGTTATCGCCTAATAATAGAATGTTGAAATAATTTACTGATACTGATTAGAAGACACAATCATTTAAAATCAAATGCTACTAATTAAATACAACATGCAAGCTTTATGGCTTGAACATTTTTACTGCTTCACATTAACTTTGCCAAAAGGCAACAAAAAACGAAAAAGATCCTCCAATACTTCAACATATTTAAAACAGCATATTATAATTATACATCAAAATTTAATATGAGAACATTCGTGTTTTCCTACAATACAAGTCATAGAATTTATTGTTATTGCATTGTTACTTGCAGAAATGTTAGCTGCCACGGACAGCATGTTCAGAGTGATCAAGGAAATGTATGAACCAACGTGGATTGGATACACAGAGTATGTCGTCGCTACACAGGTCATTCTCTCTTTCCCTCTCTCTCCATTTCTCATTATCTTTTTTGCTCTCTCTCCTCTCTCTCTCTCTCTCTCTCTTTTTGTCTCTCCTGTTCTCTCCCTTTTTTTCCTCTCTCTCTCCTACCCCCTCTCTCTCTCTCTTTAAAGTAGAGATTTCTTGTTTGATATGTAATTTGTGGGTGTTTTCACTTTACTGTAGATTTAGTCTACGTTCAATTTATCAACTTTATGGGATCTTTACTTAGATTTTTTTAATTTTTGTAACATTAATTTCAATTATTTAACGCATAATATAAATTAAATTTTCATATTTATCAACCCAATTTGTAACACTCTATATTTCCAATTTTGATTGATTAGAATGCAATATATATATATATATATATATATATATATATATATATATATATATATATATATATATATATATATATATTATCAATATATACTCTTTATGACCTCCATCACTGATAAATGACATGATTGCTTATTTGCTTGTTAGAATAACGTTTGTTACCTGTACTTCTAACTGAAATAATTGCTGTCAATAATAACAAGCTGTTGATGACTAAAGTTACATATTGGAACATTTGATAGCACCTGCCATCGTCATTGGAAGCACTCCACTTGAACATTATAGAACATTTGATAACTCCTTTCAATCTCTACATGTCTCAGTTTCCAGAAATCAAGGTAGTTGGGAGTCTCTACCACTGTTTTTCCGACAAAATATTTTTTTAATTTTTGTTTTTGTTTTATTTTTTGTAGCGTATTTCAAAATAGAATTTGCACGCAGGCAAAAATAAACAAGAGAAATCGCAAGCTGATGGATTATGACAGTGCCAGGCACCATCACGATTCCCTCATGTCTAAGAAAACTCAAGACACTAAATCCATCCAAGTTGGTTTTCATCACTAAAATCTCTTTTTTTCAAACTTAAGGAATAAATAATTTTTGACTGTGTGCATAAAAATTGTGCATTATCTCTTTATTAGAATAGTTATAAAATAATAATTTATTCAATATATTAATGATTTATAACGAAACTGCTATTGTAGGTTTCTTTATATTCATGATTGTTTTTATCACTAAAAGTGACATTTAAAATTTAAGCATCATCATTTAGTGATTTATGAATACTCTCTTTTAAATCAAATCGTCAAAGTTTATGTGCAGCGTATCACCTGATGTCTCGTCATTCGTTTTTTTCTTATCAAACTCATAGAGCTGCTGCTGAGATCTAGTTAGAAACAGTCATGGTGCTATAACCCTCCACTGTTCTCATTTCAGTTTTTGGACTAGTTCGCATTTTTGACTTTGATCACCTCAATATCCCTCAAGCCATTTATTTGCTAAGTTGCAGTTTTCTGAGTTCAGAGAAATGTTTTTGGTTTGTGTCTTAGCTTAAATAGCTTTTTTGCAGGTACATCATCAGATTCTAAAAAGAAAAATTTCACTTACTAAATAAACTGGGCATTATGTAAGTTGCATATCTGATTAAACTGTGAGAGCACAAATTTCTGATTCTTCTGTTGTTCCGTAGACTAATTGTAAATTTAAATGATGCTGTTGATGACATAAATACTCTTTAGGAGGACTTTGAATACCCAATTCATTAAAAAGTGGCTTATTAGCTTTGAATTATTGGAAATCTTTTGTTTTAAATGTTGGTTCTGGTATGTCTTCAATGATTGAACAAGTTTAAATGAGAAATTAGTCTGGTTTTCTGTTATGATATTTGTTAGAATTCATTAAGTATGATGAACTGAAAATAAACAAAGCTAAACAATTATGTAAAAAAATTATGTGTCTTTACATTATTTGAAATTTTAGTTTTGCGATTAAATTTGACAGTAAATTTGTGTTACTTTATTTGAACTGCGTGACCAACGTTAATGTGGCACCTCTTCAATTCATCGCCCTTCAGAATGTGGCGAAGGAACTTGAGAAAACTCAAAAGATATATGATGACATCAATGCAGAAGTGAATAAGGAGATGGCAGATTTTTATAACAGGTAACATTTTAGAATTAATTTTTCATTAGTTTGTTTGGTAATTCAGCAAATTACTAATCAAATACTATGAGATAGTTATCGACGTGATTTAATTTTTTTATAAATGCAGTCGTGTGTTTGCAACAGCAACTGCTTTCAATGCACTAATCAATGCTGACCTGACATACTTCAACGATGCGGGAAAGGTAGGCCGTTGTCATTTTGTTTGTTTTTAATGGTGTTGAGTCAGTTGGCCAGTTAACTCAGACTTTGTCGGTGCTTGCCTGGTTTGAATGCGTTTTCTGTGAAATTCAAAAATGGGCACACTCTTTATGCGTTGTTTGTGTGTTCGCGTAGCGTGGTTTGAATGTGCACACAAGTTTTGTAGAAAATAAATACGAAGGATGATTTGTAAGCAGCTCCATATTGGTCAGGGCTGCGTTATAAAGAACAATAAATATTAATGTACTTGTTTGAAGGAACAACCATCTTATTTAAGCCACATATTCGATACGTATGCAGAAAGCTGGCAACAACAATAGGTTTGCTAACAAGATTGAATTTATGTTGAATTCATATTCCGTACATGACATATTGAACATTTACCTAGCTAAATCGATGAAAAGAGCCATGTTTACAACAACCATGTCAATACACTGAACACTTGCCCAACCAATTGTTTAACTAGGCTAACAATTTTAATTTCAACCAAACAAACAATTATAGTTGAATAAACTTTCTTCGCAAACAATTGACAAGAAAACTTCTTTCACCTATTTTTCATGATTACTCCAAACTTGTTAACAAACAAAGATGTATGAACTTCAAGCACACAAACAAATCAAAAACAAACATTCTATCTGTTTTATCATGTTGTCTGCAGAGGACTTAGAACCTGAAACGAAGTGTTGAAGATAGGCTTCCAATATGAATCAGTGTAGTGAATTGAATGAATTTTAAAGAAATTGTTAACATATTTATAAAACAAAGTTAATTATTCAGAATTTATTTGTCTGTATATTTATTTATGTAAATTTTTTGTAGTGAAAATCAAAGAAAACATTAATTAAATCAAACAGCAAATATAGTTTAGAAATCATTAAACTGAACATATATGAATTATATTTTAATGTTATTTTATTTTTTTAAATGTTGGCTGTGCGTGATGAGTTTAATTATGGCTCCACTCAGTCATTCTTTACATTATTTAATTTAACTTTTTGAGGTCCAATAAAGTATTTTCTTCGTTTGTTATTCATTCATTATTTTATCCGTTAATTCCTTTCTGTGAAGATTCGCCTCATGATGTCGCATCCCATACAAAGCCTGTTAGCTGACGCAAAGAATTACGGAGACAGGCACGCATCATCCCCTCCACCTAAACCTCCACAGCCATCCTACAAACTGCACAAGCCAGATGACGAGGTGCAGTTCCTCGAGAAGGAGTACAGCCTCACAGAGATTGCAAACAATGAATGCAATAAAAATAATAAATGTATACCTGCTCTTTATATCTTCACCTTTATTATTATCATCATTTATAACAGTTTTTAATGAATTAAATGAACAAATTAAGAAAGCACGAACAATGTTGAAGAAATAATCTTCCACAAGGATGATGATTGGTCACCATAAAATATATTTTTCCTATAAATTTTTAAAGCTCCTCACGTGCATTTCACTTAGGAATATAAAAATGTTGTTTGAGGAATTATTGATTGATATTTCATACGTGTTTATTTGTTTTCAGCACCTGGAAGATCAACATTTTCTGCAAAAAAAGTGGTTAGTGCACTGTTTAAGATGCGTGAAAATATTGCAATAAATAAATAAATTAATTTGCATAATTATTATTGATATTTTTTAGTAATAATACGGTGGGGTTGCGGTGCGGGTAAAGTTTCCGGTCCTGCGATGCAGTGATCGGGTTCGATGGACTGCAGAGAGATTCTCGTCTTTCGTGAGTTTATTTGTGTAGACAGAAAATTGAGTTTAAGAGTCTCTAAGGATACACTACGCATACGATTCCGTACAAACTGAATTGAAACTTTTTCCAATGTTATTGAGGATTTTTTCAAAATTGTAATAATTATTATTTTTATAATAATAATAATTAGTAACAACATGAAAAATTGTTTTGGATGGTTAACAAATATTTGCAGTTTCTTAATAAATCTTCCTCGGCCAAAGTTGATAATGATGATGATGATGGTGATAACGATGATGACCATGCGGAGAATGATGATGATGAAAACGGTGAGTTGGTCGTTGTGGAGGTCCATAACAACAAAGTCCTCGATCGTAGTATGCCGTCCAGTCCTGACCAGACAGCCAACAACAAAGTTGGTGACCATTGTAACGACGCTAACATTAATGGACAATATGAAGTTTGCTCGCCAAGCAGCATCAACAGTGATAAAAGTGATAAGGTACTTGAACACGACGTTGCTGATAAAGAGAAATGTCAAGTCACGGTAGGAACCGTTTCTAGTAACGAATCTCTTGATGTAAACAAAAGCCGAAATGACAAACAGTCAGTAGTGGAAACTGAAGCAACTGCAATCAAATCAGACCAAACACCATCGCCCACAACATCATCACCGCATACAGCACCCACATCAACCTCGGAACTTCTGTCATCTACCGCATTTCCTGTGAAAACAGGCTCAGCAATTGACGAGAGTGAAGGTGCAGCAAGCGTAAGTAGTGGAAGGATTTCAACTTTTGTGCCCCCTAGCAGAATTCTTTTCAAGGTTCATCCATCACGATTTTAAATTCATGCAATTTTTGACCCAATCAGTATTTTTTTTAAATACTTTTTTATTCGTGTGTTTAAAACTTTAGTTAAGTTCTGAAAGCTTCTTCATGGGGTAATCCTGTTGCGATATTTTATGTTAAATTATTGATTTGTTGTGCGCTATCATCGTTATAATTATGACTTGTATTCATTAACAGGTGGAAGCCACTCACAAATATGTAGGTGAGGATATAGATGAACTATCATTCGACATTGGAGATATCATCACCGTCGTACCGTTTGATAATCCAGATGACCAGGTCAGTCTCTCTTTATTAGCGCGTGTGGGGGCTTTGGTAATCACTTCATTTCATGGCTCCGATGTTGTTGTGTTTCATTCTTTCTTCTCCGATTTCCATTATTAGTTCTCTTCTCTGTTACCTTTTTTCTTGTTTATCCTCAACTAACTAATTTAGCAGCAGCATCCATCGTCAAACTAGCCAACATAACACATGTCTGGAATATCTTAACAATCAAAATCTTAACACTATTTCCATCTTTAACAGTTTCAAACCCAACATTTCTCAACTTTCATTTGATAAATTTATTGCCATCATCATCCCTACCTACCAGTCAGTGTTATTTTAATAAGGCCTTCCCAGTTTGAATTGCAAGTGCTTTCCAGTTACAGTTCACCTTTTAGCTCTTCTTTTTTTTAAAGCCTTTGAAGCTCTTGATAACGTTTTTGATTTCATTATCACTCTTTTCTGATACATTTTTCAATTTTAGAAAAATACGATCCAATCATTCACTCTTAGCAGCAATTAAATCTGCAAAACACAATCTATGTCAGCGCACCCATAATTATATTTATTGATCACATCATCCTTTGATTTTATTGCTCACTTGTCCTTTATCATTACTTTCTTTTATTTATATATCTATTCATTCATTTATTTATTTCATTTATGAACATTGTTTTAATAACATAACATTGGTTTTTTTTCTGTTAGTTCATTGATGAAATCGTACAAAATCAATAATAAGCTGTTCGTTATTTTATTCCGCCAATTGTTTCTAATCATTTTTATGTTTAATTGATTGGACCTCTTTATCTCTGCTGTACGATCTTTTAATCTTCAACGGCGTCAGTGTTGTTTGTGTTTTCTGATATTAAGGCTTGTAGTGAAGTTTTTCCACCCAACTCTATATGTTAAATATCTTAATAGCTGTTTATTCAATATCTAATTGTAAATTTATTATTTTAGATGCTTCATAATAAATATTTTGATTATTGTATTTAGATTATTAAACATAATATTGAATTTTTCGTGACAGGACGATGGATGGCTGATGGGCATCATTGAGAAATCAAAAGAAAAAGGTGTCTTTCCACAAAATTTCACCAAGATGATTCAATGAATGCCTGAGTATTTGTTTGATATTGATTAATTGATTTGTTGGTTGTTCATCATTTGGTCGTTTACTGACTGGGTGGCTGTTCATTTACGTAATCACTAACTCTTTGGGCGATGCAGTTGTTTTATTTCATTGAGTAATTTATGCTCACTGCTTTCACTGTTTGCTGGATAATTAACGGAAAAAATCGTGTGATAAAAATGAGTGATATATATATATATATGTATGTGTATGTATAATTTTTTTCAGCAAATTATTTTTCACTCTATTTAATACAAATAGTTTCTATTTTTGTAGCTTTTATTTCTTTTTATTTTGTTGACAAACGGAGGGCTGCTTACAAATCGCTCCTTACTTGGTTGCAATTATGCTTGCTTTGCGTCACAAATGCTGTACGTTCGTCCACATCATATTACGTACATACAATTATCATGTACGCGCAAGCACCGAATCATGCGAACGTGCTTTGAATTTCGAACAGACAGCTTTTGAACCAGGTCAGCGTGCAATAACAGCACGAGACATAGCACTTTTATTGTCTGAGCTAACTCGCCAGCCAATTTAATTTTTCATTTTTATTGATTTTTCAGAATCATTTTTGCATGACATGTTATTTTTGAAAATATTTTTATGACTTTGGTTGGCACGATGATTTATTCACATACTGGTATATTATATTCACTATTATATTAAAGACTTTTTTTATTTAATAAAAAAAATAAATTTATATTGTGTTCTGCAATTTTTTGTTCTTTTAACTGTTTTGCAAGGCTATCAAATTATTTAAACTGTGCTATCAGTTGATGTCAATTAATTTCATTGTTAAGACACGGTTTTTATTTTTGTTCACTAATATAAATGTTAAATTATAAGTTGCGTATTAACAAATTTGTGTTTACTCCTGCAACTTTGATGTTTGCATTTCTACCCACGAAAGAATTATTTGTTGACTTATTTATTTGCTACAAGTTTATTTATTTAATGTTTTTTTATTTATTCCCTGCGCATGTACCGTTCATATTCATTTATATTCATGTTTATGTTCTTGTGAGAGGCTTGACTTGATACAAGTTCACGTTTTTCCAATTCGACATGCTCTTTGTACGTATATGTATCGTGATAGGTGCATTTAAATTTATTGATTCGCAGGTGTTCAACCTATTCATTCCTCCTTTATGTATTTTTCAGCTTAGAGTTTATTTTTCTATTTCACTTAGATAACTAAAGTGCGGTAATAACAGTTTTAATAACCAGCTCTCGTAAGGGGATGTCCTCGATTAATGCATTTAAAAATTCACGGGTACTACGCGCTTCGCAATAAACGAACAATGTTGCTGTTATTATAATTACTTAATTATAACATGGATTCTGAGAGATGTTTTTTAGGTTTCACATTTTTGAAGTATTGGTACAGTTGTGTTTCACATTTTAATTTAATATCCTGCACAGTGTTTGACGTTTCAGCATTCAATCCAGCATTCAATGGCGTCAAATTTTATCAACGTCTTCACAAGTCTGCTATTTGAATTGAATTTATTTGTAGATATTTAAGTGAGATATTTATAATTATACTGCAATGACAACCTTAAGTTTTTATTGCTTTCGTTGTTTACCGCGTTGGGTTTCACATTATAATTAGCTTCTAAAATTGCAATTTCTCTGATGTCTCATTAAAAAGTTTTTAAAAGTGCAATTAATCAACTTAATAATAGTCAAGTTTGTCGACATTTTTAAAGTCACATGTATTATTTTATTACATTCTTTTGTTCTCAAGTTTTGGCGATGAAATGTGTTACATTTTATTTAAATTATTTGTAAATAAATAATGAAAAATATCTTGTAATCATTTATTTTCATTCATAATAATGATAGAATGGTAATGCATGTTCAATCAATTTATTTCTAAAGTGCCAATTCCGTGATTTTTAACAGTGCTCCCCAATGAATTTTGCAAGCAGATGGGTGTTGAGATCCTCTCTGAACTACGTAAGCGACGGAGAAGTAGTTAGAAAAGGAGAAGAGAGTTCCAGAGAAAAACAGAAAAGCAAGAGCTGATATAGCGTAAAAGTTCAATAGGAGTTTAGAATAAGTGAGAACGAGAAGACAAGCTAGACTGGTACCTTCATGTTTAATTAAAATATCTGACAATGAAATAATTTAGATTGAAACTTGTACATTAATGTGCAAATTTTAAAAATTAATCAATATTTTATTGGTAGCCAGTGCGAGGTCAAGGTTTGGAGATATATTTTCTATCCAAATCAAATTAAAATATCGTTACATGTTAAATTAATAGACTCGTGACAAAGCTGAACATGTATATCGTATATTGTTATATTATATTATCCTCCTATATTATGTGTTAGTGTCGGTAATCACATGCACACACACGCGAAGTGAGGAGTGCAAGTGACTCTACAGATTAAGTTAATATCCATTTTTAATACGATTTATTTACGGTTAAATTAGATTACATATTTATTTATTGACGAATTTCAAAAAGCATGATGAAAATTATGATTACATAATAACTATATAATAATTCAACGTGCATATATATATATATATATATATATATATATATATATATATATATATATATACATACAAAAATCCAATGTAGTCGTTTAACAGAACAATGCATGCATTACATACATAAATAACAATCTTAAATAGTAAAATTGTCATTAGAATAACATGGAAAGGTTGATAATAATTGACGCATGCACATTTGAAATAACGCAGTGATCAGAGTTGCGACTAAAGAATGAATACATAGAGGGATACTTCATTGCATTCATGGTCAGTCAATGTAACCAACAACTGAATATAGTATTAATACTAGATGGATACGGAAAGTTAGGCTGGGATTGTAAAAAAGTTTGCCGAAAGAAGATTTACAATGGATTTATAATGAATAAATTACACAATAATTAATTAAACTGATAATAAATAGAAGTATTCGGAAGAATAAAGATAATATTTCATTGAAATAATGCATAAATGACAAAAAATTATGTTAAATATAATAACTGAATAAAAATAGGCTAAGAGTGAAACAAATGTTTATATAATAACATGAAATAATGAATCTAATTTGTTTCGCTTCATAGAAATTAAAATATGGAAATTTTGAACGTAAAAGATAATAGATACGACAGATTTTAATGCTCCAATGTTAATTATTTAATTACGAAACATGCGAAGAATTACACATGTTGTAGAGAAAGAACATTTGTGTTGTCAATGCAGTTATTAGACATGGTCAAAAGCTTTACAACACACACTCTCTCACACACACACACTCTCACACACACACACACACATATATATTTATATATATATATATATACGTGGTAGATTTTATACAAGTAAAGCACACATGTAAGTACATTACGTAAATTCTCGTCACTGCACGAAAAGAAGTTGACATCAGTTGCAAAGTTTGCCACCTGGTTGAACAGTTAAACCGAATATAGGAAGCTAAACAAAACAAACTACCAGGGAAAAACTAGCGATTTTTAAAAGTTGGCCTGCTGCTAACCAATTTAAGAAAGAAATGAGTCAATTCAAATATTTTTAACGCTGCCGAGAGATGTTTCGTTTTTTTTTGACTTTTTAAATCAAGAAACATATTGTAATATTGTAATATAGTTTAATATTTTGACAAAAAATATCCACATTTAATACCGCAAATACTTTTTTAATTTGCATGAAAAACATTTTGAGTGAATTGGAGTTAACGGTATGTAACAGTATGTAACTTTTTAGAAACAATATCTGCAATCAACAGATATACACAGACTCTTTTAGACTTGATGCATCTCCATATAACTCCTATAAAATTCTATATAGTCTCCAGGTTCACGGCAGTAAATTGAAAAAACCTCAGAATCTCCGCACACCAAATTTTTTAACCTCCGATGAAAACGCAGAGTCTTAGCACGGCCAAACAGGAAAATATAGTGAGAAGTTGTTAATATTTTGCAGTATTTGAAGGTTGGGGGTTACACATCACGAACACACAAACAGAGTTTGATTGTCACTAACAAACAACGTCTGTCTAATGTGCTCTGTTCAATTAATTCAATGAACAAAAACACAAAAATCGAAACTCATTGAAACATGACAAACAAGCCACAAAACTGACAAATAATGCAAGAAACCTAGAAAGAAAAAATTTAGCATTAAAATAATGAATGTAAGTTTTGAGTTCAATCATTCGTTGGGATGTTGAAGACAGTTATTTGTTTCTTTTGTGATAAGCTGATAAGCTAGAACTTTGTGATCTTTCAATGAATGACTACCATCTACATAATTTTTAGAAATATATTATTCCCTGGTGAACTTAGTTGCAAACAAATATGGAATAAATGGAACAAAATATTGTTTTGTTTCTGACATCAACAGGATGGCTTGCAAACTCAAAATTATTATCAATATTAACTACCATTGCATTAATCAATATGAATTTTTGAGGTTTAATTATTTTACTTTATAATCCTGAAAATAACTTGTACAATAAAGAATAATTATTTGTATAAATGACAACATAATAGTGATAACAAGCGTCTAATTACTTTTTTAAATATTGCTATTTACAACAGCCAGAAGATTGTGATTGGTTGGCTTGGCTGAGGTCGACGCCTTGTGAACGAACAGGATTGGCTGATGGATCACTCTTTGGAAGTTTTTTTGCTGTAATTTTAACATGATGTACATCATGTAATCAAACAGATCAGTATGATACTTCAACTTATCAATTTGATATTTGGTACATTATCGTAATGAAAAACTCAAACTGAAGAGAAAACTGTTAAGAAGTCAGGAAGAAAACAAAAATAACACATTCCAACATAATAACAGAACTGAATATTCACAAATAAAACAAATAACCACAATCTCGAACAGTTAAATTAATAAAAACCATATTTTTCCAGACAATATTTCCTAAAATTGCTTAACAAGCATACAACATCATGATATCAATAAAGATAAAAAATCTGACATAAAACTTTGAACCACGTATCAAAATACAAAAACAATTCTTAACAGTTAAACTCTGTAAAGAACATTCAATTTACTCTTATTTTATAAACCTTTCCTCTTAATGAATAATCAGTCTATTAAAAATACTATCCTCATAAATATACTCACCAATAGCCAGGAATATATCATTGACATTGGCAGCAGTTTTAGCAGATGTCTCCATGAATAGCAGATTGTTCTCCTCGGCATACTGCTGAGCATCCTACGTGAGATTATTCAAAACTAAGTGCACGTGGAAGCAATTAGGATAAATTTTCATATTAAAAATAAATCATACTTCTAAAATTAGTTTATATGATGCAATTCTAATTTATTTTGGCCTCATTTGATTTAATTATTAGATAAATATAGAGACTGATGCATTGCTACACAGTATGAATAATTATCAAAGTGTTCAAATTACTTAAAAAATATCTTATTTAAGTTCTAGAACTAAGTATATATCAATTGAAAACTTAATTGAAATAAATAATAAAAAATCAGAACAAAAAAATTAACTGACCGCATATTCAACCATTCGTTTGTTTGCAAGATCAGATTTGTTACCTGCAAGGGCCATAACAATGTTTGGACTGGCCTGTCTTTGTAGTTCTTTCACCCAATTGGTCGCCCTCAAAAATGTGTCCTGCAAACAAATAACAGATCAGCAGATAGTGGCTATAACACCTGCTCACTATTTAAAAGGAAATGTAATTCAGTGAAAAATCACCTGACTAGTAATATCATAAACAATAATGGCTGCTTGAGCACCGCGATAGTACATGGGAGCCAAACTATGATATCTTTCTTGTCCAGCTGTGTCCCATATTTCAAACTTAACAGTGGTGTCGTCAAGGACGATCGTTTGAGTGAGGAATGCCGCTGAGTAAATTTTATGCACAAAAACACATTAATATAGAAACAGACTAAAACTACAATTAACAAAATAAAATCTATACCAAAAACACTAAAAACTGAAAAAACCTCCTATTGTGCTCTCTTGATATTCATGAAACTGTCCTTTTACGAATCGTAGCACCAGACTTGACTTGCCAACTGCAGATTCACCAAGTAACACTAATTTGAACTGACAGGCTTTGGGTTGAGTGCTGGCTCCCATGACGCCTCCTCTTTGATTGCTGGTACTTCTTGCTTGGGCCGCCATTCAAAACTAAGTTCTAATAAATTAAAATTACCAGGTTTTATTTAATTTTTAAAATTTCAATTGAGTTAAATTAACAAACATTTCCAAATTTAATTTATTTTTATTGTACTCATCATCACTGTGTTATTTGTTATGACATGATTTTAAAATTCTAATATGATAAAATTTTATTATAAATTATATAATTTATAAATTTATTAAATAACTATTTTTACTATTAACATTAATTAACATTAACACTAAAACAGTATTATTAACTATTACTCCTGTGAAATATCATTCATTCATTTTCAAATTTCTCATCTCATGAGTGATTCATTGTTTTGTAACATATTTTAAATTAAAATACAAATGAATATAAATATAAATTTTATATTTTAATTTATTTATTGTTCATTCATGTTCTTATAAAAATAAAAAATATATAAATAAATATTCAGATTATTATTGAAACAAATGAAATGAATGATTTGCTGATTCAAATATTTACAAAATAAGTAAAAAATTATTACGAAATAAGAAAGAACAAAAAATTTATTAATGATAAAAGACCCAGAAAAGTGGGCAGAACATACTGATTTATGATCTTTTGTGCTTGTCTGTCAGATGACCAGCAACCACAACGGAAAACTGTTAGTTAGTTGGGGAAAATTTCTAGATTTTTATATAAATATAATTTTTTTCTCTAATTATTCTGAGTTTTTATAACAGCCAGAAAATATTTGAATTAAAAAAATAAATTAAATGATTTAATAATTTTATTTATATGTTAATAAGGCGGTACTAGTAGTGATGTGCTTAAACAAACAAATGTTTCTGTTTAAAAGATTCAAAATATACATTTATAAAAGACTAGGTTCGAAAATTAATAAATTGACTCTTTTTTTGTCAAAATTTGATTGACTTCCAACCGCTGGAATGATCAAATTGAGCTACATTATTTGTTATCTTAATTATTGTTATCTTTGCTATATTTGTAATCCTTTGTAAACCACGGAGGATTTAAAAAAGGTATTGAATCTATGCTAAAAATTTACAGTGGGGGCTATATAAGATCCTATGGAGACACACAGGGCAGTAGAGGTTTGTAGCGAGGTTTGAAGCGAAATAGTAAATGTGATTTATGTAGTTACTTCGATTGTTTGTGATTTAGTGTATATATTACAGTTGTGTTCATCTATCGGAAATCTTGAACCTACGGAAAAACGAAAGCTTGATGATTGTTGGAAGCAATATGGAGATCATTGAAGTTATAACATTGGTGATGGTAGTCATGAGCGTCAAAAGGTCACAACACCATTAAGCATACAGTTGTAATAATGGTCGTAATTAGATTTACATTATTTTGTATATGTTTATTTTGTATTGTACATTACAAAGTCTTACAATTTTATCGACTTGTTGTATTCCACTTTCAAATGACTTTTCTTGGCAGCGTTAGCACGCTGAGGGATTGTTTTGGATTTGGGCAAAGGGTTGGTAGGAAATGTTAATATGGCCCGAATACAATTAAGAATATAATATCTGTTAAAGATGTTTTTCTTGCAATTCGACCCTACTTTTTGATTGAAACTGTTTTTTTTTATCATTAGGCACGTGTCCTACAGATATATCAGAGATAGAGTGTTTCTAAAACAATATTTTGAGTGAAGGATTCGATGAAAATGGAAAACTTGTGAAAAATTGATTCCGTCTTGAGTGAACTAAAAAATGAACTTGGCCAAAAAATCTCGCACATCTAACCTTTGGCTGCTGTATTTGAACTATGTTACGTTGTTGAAGACGTTTCGAGTTAAAAGAAATAGTGACTTGTAGGTGATAACTGCAATCTACTAAATTTCTAGCGTTGAATAAAATTATCGAACGCTAGTAATTCGGTAGATTTAATAAATTACTGCATTCATATATATATATATATATATATATATATATATATAGATAGATAGATAGATAGAATAAAGTCATTAAGCTATCGGAATCCATCTTTGATACACCGCTCCTTGCCCCAACTCACGCACATATGAACATAAAGCCTAAACCCACCCACTTAATCCTTCAAATATTGAGACTTAAGTTAACTTTTCATTATCTTCCATGCTCTAAATTTATCAACGATGGCGTTCTCCTTGAGTTCCATGCGCATCCTTTCAAAAAGTTGTTTCAAAAAGTTGTACAGCAGAAATTTGGTACATTTTCAAAAATTCAGGTCAGATATTATATTGTTTTTTTAGTTGAATTTCACTTTTTAGTTTTTTTCTCCCATGGGCCATCGTATATTATTGTATATTACTTTATAAATAAAGTAATAAAGTTTATTACTTATTGTTATTGCATCACATTGCATTTTTTTACTTATGAGTTTTTATTTTTTATTGACTTGGTGTGGTGTGACGTGACGTGATCGAGGATCAGGATGTGATTGAGAATATTGGTCATTGTTTAATGTTTAGTTGAAGATTTGACGATTGTGTGTGAACAAAGTCAAAGTTGGCCATTTTTAAGATTAAAATATTAAATTAAATTAATTAAAAGGAGGTAAGAAGCTGATTAGAATCAATCAGCATCAGTCTCAGTAGTTTTTTTTCGGCTTGGATTTTTTGGAGATATGAATAAGATATAAATGCTTATAAACTGTTAATTAATTAAGACTTTTTTAAGGCTTATCACTTATCAATAAGGTAAAAAGACAGAAGAAACTTTATCCTGTTTAAATTGAATTGAAAGGTTTGGGATTTGGCAGCTTTATTATATGAAAATATTTGTACAATCAAAAAACAATGTAGATAATCAAACAAAATAATAAAGAACTTTAAAAATCTTAACTGAACAAATGTAAGACAAAACTCAATAGAATAAATTTATAATATTAATAATTATTATAAACTACATTGTATTGAGATTTGTGATTGCTGAAATTATTATGTCATGAGCTTTATTATAAATTTATATTATATTATTATAAATTGCTAATGATTTGAAAAATAAATTTAATGTTTAAGAAAAATTTTGTGTTTTGTGAAATTAGAGATTATTGATGAATTGTTTGTGAATAAAGAATAATTTTAAAAATTAAAAAAAAACTAATTTCAGTTCTAATATTGATTCAACGACACTGAAGAATGAGAAGCAGGATGCTGCAACCATTCCCAACAACTCTTCTTCCACAGACAAACAGGAAGACAAAAAAGATGTTAACATTTTAAATGCTGAACTTTTAGAGGAGAAATCAAAATTAACTCTACAATTAGAAGAAATCAAAGTAGTTTATGATAATCATTTATTTGTCGTTGAAAGCATTTTCTTTCATATTTGTAAAAATCAAATGTTTGTTAAATTTGTTTTCATTAGTAAACCATTTGGTATGAATAAAAATAAATTTGTTTTTCTATAATTTCAAGGACAAATATAAAAGAGCATTAGCAGAAACAGAAAATGTGAGGCAACGGCTGCAGAAACAAATAAAAGATGCTAAAATATTTGGAATTCAAGGTTTCTGTAAGGACCTTCTTGATGTTGCTGATATTTTATCAAAAGCTACTACCAGCTTAACTGAAGAACAATTAAAAAAAGAAAATAACCCAGCTCTAAATTCTCTTTATGAGGGATTAAAAATGACTGAAGGGCAACTTATGAAAGTATTCTTAAAGCATGGTTTAGAAAAAATTGATCCATTAGTAGGTGAGAAGTTTAACCCAAATTTGCATGAGGCATTATTTCAACAGCCATTACCAGATGCTGATGCCGCCAAACACGGTGATGTAGTTTTAACGGCTGGCTCCATCGCGGCTGTTAGTAAAGTTGGTTACAAACTACATGATAGGACCATCAGAGCCGCACTTGTTGGAGTATTCAAATGATAATAAATTTATCTTCATTCGTTTTTGTTTTAATCATTGTTTAATGTTGTAAGCCAAATAAAAAGTTTGAACAAATGTACTTTAATAAAAAGGTTTAATACTATGACGATTTTGTATAATATTAACGCCGTGGTTTTGTTACGGTTAGTGTGTCTGGGGAGGGCTCTTCAAGCGGGTTGGTGTCAGTTATCCAATACTATGGTTTTTTAACTTAATCTAATTTTTTTGCTCTGGGACTGAAAAAATAAGGCCATCATCTGACTATTTTCGACCACATCTTATTCAAAAATCATGAAGCTAATCGCGTCGGAGGTGTATATTTTTATGAGTTTTTATAATAAGCTTTAAATCATTCATATAATGGTGCAATCGAAGAAAAAAGTGCCGATACCATATCATAGACAATAGAACAGAACCAGTGAAATCAGTAGAGTCAACATTTAAAAAATAAGTGCCGATAGATAACGGCTAAGTTGATTTGTTTACCCTGTGGATAATGCGGTTATAGTATTTGATATCGGTATCGCCAAAATAGTTCGAATATTGCCTTTTCTCATTCTTATTATAAATTTACTGGAAGCAAAAGCAGCATTGTCGTCACATTATAGATGATGGGGGGAGATGCTAGCAGTTTAGATCCTGGTGATTGGCGAAAGCATAAAAACAGTATAAAGTGACGCACGCAAACTCATCCAGGTTAAATGCTTCATTTTTATTTCTTCGTAAAGAACTTCAATGGATGACGGTAAACAAAACTAAATATTTTTAAGCTGTATTGTAAGCTACAACGTGGATTCTAGGGACAGAGTGTCAGACGATAGCTGTACCTACCACGACAATTTTTCTCGAGATCAGGTTTGTGATCGTTTTATTTTTTCAACAGTTGTTTCCATTATTGCATTCATCGGTTCAGAGGTATATAAACGACACACAAGCATTGCATATGATCAGCTGGATCCTTAATCTTTTTTTAATAGTTACTCATATTAAAATCACATTTTCTATGCCTAATACTAACCTTAACATGCAAAAATGATTTAAAAAAAAAAAACAGAAAAAATCAATTCAAATGTGGAACAGTTTACAATCATATTTTTTAGAATAAACATTAACTACAAAACTGACTGCAACTAAAACGCTGAAAATATCTAATAAAAGCTGTTGATTTTGATATTGTTAGGGCATTTTTTCACAATCTAAATGTATATTTTAAATCTGAACACTTCAAACAAGATTAATCTGTTAATCGCATTAAAAAATAAGAAATTTCTAATTTAGCGTTTGAACTTTAAAGCACGATAGACAAAAGAAATAGTTTATACCAGTTTGAAAATTTAGAAAGTTTTGATTTCAAACGGTGATATGGCAGATTGTAATGAACAAAAAAAATTGATAATATTGGTAAAAATACAAATTTGTTAATAAATCAGCTATAAAGTGTAAAGATGTTTATAAAAAAGTTCAAAAGATTTCATTTGTTTTTTTTATCAAGCATTTTTTAATTATAATGTTCTTGTCTATAATTACTTTGGCCTGAAAACATTTGTAGCTGATTTTGCATTAATTGAGGTTGCTGAACATTTTGCATCTGTTGAAGTCTTTGAAGCTGTTCCGATTGCTGCTGCTGCGATTGACGATTGAACTGAAGTTGTAATTGTTGCTGTTGTTGTAATTGTTGTTGTAACTGCTGTTGCTGTTGTTGACTTGGTGTCAGGTAAGACATTGGCGTCTGTTCTCTGCTTGCCGACTTGCGAAACAAGTTTTTAACACCAGAGAACTTCGATCTAAAACGAAAAATTGTAAAATCTATTCCATTTATAGTATTTTCCCACAGTCAACATTTCAAATGTATTTGACAAACTTTCTTGATTTCTTATCGTAAGGATCCTGTGATGTCAAAGATTGATTAGACCACTCCTTCAAGATTTCTGGGTTATTTTATTTTGGTTTGAGATGTTTTAAAAATTGAAACAAAATCTTTTTTGGTGGATGATATATTTAAAAAAATTACTTGGTGGAGAGTTTCGCTTGGGGGGAGGTGTCAAATAGTACCCATCGTTATTTAAATCCATTTTTTTACTAGTTGAAGAGGTAACATCAACTTGATAATTGTCAACGCTGCGAGATCGAGGGTTTTTCGGACGTCGAAATTTTTCTTTGAAAGCGGTCATCAAGGACTTTCGTTTCGGAACGGTCTGATTGATGTCTATGATGTTTTGTTGTGATGAAAAAATGTTTATCTTTCGTATTAACAATTTTTATCTATATTATATTGATATTCACATAATCTGGCTTATTCACAAATTGATCGACAATGTTTTCAAATTATATAAGTAAAATTTAGAATGTAGTACAATCCTTAGCTTTTACACTTTATTTAAAATGAATCAAATCAAATGAACCATGAACGAAATTCCATTTTTATATAAAACTAAACTAACTGAAATTTCCAACCCAACTTGGATAAAGCAGGGTCAACCTTTAACAAATTTAAAATGTTATCGTGGTTCTGCCAAATAAATCTTAGTCATAACTTTTTATAAGAGGGCATGCTTACATCTGACCAACGACATTAAAACTAACTTACAACAAAAAATCATCTGCCTACTAAAATATTATTCATACAATTGAAAAATGTGATGTATTTTTTAGGCAAAGTAATGCGATTTAACAAAGGAGAACCTCTGTAGAGAGTTCCAGGTTTCGATGATGTGTCAAAATCTGCTGTCACGCGAATGGTCGGTGATGCGATCTGCAACTGACCTTGTCCAGTCTGAATGCATTAGAATTAGCACAGGTGCAAACTTAAAATAATATACTAAAAATTAATCTATATAACACTAAAAGTAATTTTTAAGTTTAGTTTTACAATACGAACAGCAAACCATTATTGAGTTTGTTATCCTTCAAATTTTTTTCAAAAAATCCAGCCAATGAAAATTTAACCTACCATGGAGTTGAACGTGGATGATGAGGAACCGCCAATACTAGAATACGAAGTAATTGGGGGTTGTGAAGTTATTGAGGTTGAGTAGGAGATCACTGAGGTGGTTGCGGTAGTCAGTAGGCCCATGGAGGACACAGGCGTGTTGGTCAACGTGACATCTGTTCTCATTAGTAAAATTATTTAGGTCGTTTCATATTATTTATTCATTGCCATCTTCATTTACAATAAACAAAACAAACTTATTTATTATAATTGTTATAATTTATACTTTCAAACTCATGCTCAATATAAACCTTATAATAATTACTTACAACTTTTGGAACTTTATGAAATGCAAAACGCAATTATTCTAAGTGAACAACTATTTAACACGTGGCAAAGTTTTCAAAATAATTTGCAAAGACATCCAACAAATTACATGAAAGCTGCCAATCACCGAACACTAACGTACCATTCATCAGGTTGGGCGAGTTAAGCATGGCACTGTTTATGTTTGTTAGCACTGTGCCAACATTGTTTGATAACAGATTCGGTTGTTGCAGTAATTGTTGCGATTGCTGTTGCAATAGTTGTTGCTGTTGTTGTTGCTGCAGTTGTTGTTGTTGAATCAACTCTACATCTTTAGAGTAACCTAGTGGCTGACGAGAAATCTGATGAATGAATGGTGAAAAATTTACAAAAGCATATCTTTTCGTTGTATCTAGTTCACTACTTATTCAAAATCTTTAATCTACGTTAACATTAATTAAAAACCCTATCTAATTTAATACGTAAAAACTTTATTTAGTTGTGAAAAATGATTAAACTCGTCTTGTTGAAATTTGAAAATCAATATTTTGATCAAATATTTTGGATTAAAAAAATCAAAACTCACGTCAATAGTTAGAGATCTATTAGACGTTGATTGTTGGCAAAACATAGGCAGAACCATTCTGTGAGGTACAATTAAGTTGCTCCCCCCTTTCATTTCAAGTGGTATATCCTTTAGAAACACTTCAGCTCTGCCTAGATTTACTTTATTATATAATTATTACGCGATATTAAATAATCTAATATGGAATATAATTGATAAAAAATGTTTCCCCATAATTAGCGTCTTTGAAGTTGACAACACTCGTTTCAAGTGAAAATAAGAGTGATTGATGTAAAAAATTGAGTGATAGTTCGTTTAACGTACCGTTGCTGTTTGTTTTATCTCTGGCTTCGAATGATATTTTTCTCGTAAATTCGTTGGCATCACTTAAGAGGAAGGGAAGAACAAAAAGTTGTATTATTAATTCTATACTTGGGTGTCTACTTTAATGATCTTTCATAACATCACATAATAAAAACTTTGATTTATTATTTTTCACATTTGGAGTTTTGGTAAGCTGTCAGATAAAAAAAATGAATTGGATAAATAAATAGAGTAGAAACTTACAAGACAAAAATTTCGTCATAGAAAGGACTTATTGAATCGACGACTGAACTCGTCTGCTGCTGTTGCACTGGCTCGTCAACAAATATTCCTATGTAAGGCTTGTAACTGCATGTCGCATCTGAAACAGGTCCAAATGAATTTTTAAAAAGTAAATTTTTTGTACGTTGAAAAAATTTAAAGATAAAATTTTTTATTGATTTTTTCTGAATATCGAAGTGCGTTGCATTTTTATATTAAAATTGTGTTCCGATAATTTTTAACAAATGATTTCATGAGAATAGCCTACGTTGAACACATTTGGTGTGATGCTAACGCTATTTGACCGAATGAACAATAAATTGTAATATAAAGCGAACACCACATGCGTTGGTTGGTTTGATCAAAAGTCTAATGATATTCAAATTGAAACAAAAGTTGCAAGTGCAGGCAGACCTACGCATCCACGTATGTAAATTCATCTTTTTGTTCAAATTATCGCGTAAGTATTTGCACGCACAACTTTGGGGGACGAAACAAACGTAATGACGTGTAGAAACCTAATTAGCGAGAATTCTAAAATTTGTACATTGTTAACAATTAGGTTTAATTTGAAGTAATTGCACGTGCACAGTCAGAGGTGCACGTGCACACTTTTGCAGAACGGACGTGCTTACGCGTGAAATTTTAATGCACACGCATCTCGGTGATTATATTGTTTGCATGAAAATTTGAAAATACATGACTCGAATAAGTAATGCCAGATAAACCTCCAAAGCATTCTTCAGACATATAGACATTTTATATAAGCATTAACATAAACATAATTCGCACTCAAGAATATAAATGCAATTTATTCTGCTATTAATCATACACATCTCAAAAGTACTTATGTACACACACAGGCAGGCATGCAAATACGCACAAAAACACATACACGCACGCAAGCAAATGTACATGTCCGCAAGAATCAACAGTTAGACGCAGTCGTTCTGACAAGCAATGTTTTTGGGGTCGACATTAATTAGTACTAAATTTGTTTTGTGACTTTTCAAAAAACTATGACTGACTTTATCCTTTATTTGAGTTTTATATAAAAATGAACAAAGCAGCCAAGCAACTATGCAAAATTCATTCTTGTGTCGGAAAATTCAGCAAATATTTCCCCAATTCATTTTGTAAAAATTCTATGCGTGCAAGCAATCATAAACATTCATGAAATAAAAATTAAAGGGAATGGGAGCAAAGAACGCCTTGCCCTTTTACCCCTCGAAATCGGCAATCTAAAATGGTGTATGGTGGGACGTAAGAAAAAAACACATCAATAACCTGTTTCGAAAAGTGAACTGGCCTTCAAAACTTTCACGACCACGTGATGTTTCTGTTTGATTGATTGATTGGTTAGTTGATTGATTAGTTGAATGATTGGTCAATTACATAATCAGTTGATTGATTGATTAATTAATTGGTCGGTTAATTAATAGTTTGGTCAGTGATCTATCTGGTTGGTTAGTTTATTATGTCCGGCTTTCTATCATTTTAGATCTAACATTTATTTCCGTACGCTCTTACTAAGGTAGAAAGAACGTTCAGCTAGGACAAATCGCGTTTAATAAATGATTTGATCAATACCAAATAGCCAATAGTAGCCCATTTAACTCTCATTTGAAAAGTATGCAGTCAGTGTGCAACAAAAACATTGTTGTTTACTTGTTTTATCATTTGTTGTAACTGTTGTTTTTGCAGTTGCGCTTGCTGTTGCTGGATCTGTTGCTGTTGTAGGAGTTGTTGCTGTGGTTGTTGAGTTAGTTGTTGAATAAGTTGTTGCTGTTGTTGCAAATTTTGATGTTGCTGTTGAAGTTGTAATTGTTGTTGCAGTTGTGGCTGCAGCTGTTGTTGCAGTTGTGGCTGCAGCTGTTGTTGCACAAGCTGAAGTTGTTGTTGAATTTGAGAGCTAAGTTGTTGAGGTTGTTGTTGTTGTTGGTTGGAAGCGAGTAACTTGCTAATCAAATAGTTGTTGGCAGCGTTGAGACTCACTGTGTTGTTGTTCAGAACATCAGGTGTTGTCTTGATCGTTACTGCATTGAGACTGCCTGCAAAGTTGTTCGCGTTCATCATCGCATTCAACGGATTCATGTTGCCGCCCAGATTGGTCAGCAACAAGTTTGCATTCACTAAGTTGCTGTTGTTGCAGTTGTTGTCGACTTGTTGAAGGACGAACTTCAAGGAGAGGTTGCTGATGCATTCCTTAAGGAGGACTTCGAAGTACTTCCTCATGTCAGCGTCCTAACAAGAAACAACAAACTACAATGCTAGTACCCAGAATAACAACAAAAAAATGAACAAAAAACAAGTGACAACGAACAAACATGTAACAACGAACTAACCAAAACAAAAATATTTATGAACGAACACAATAGATAAACAGTATTGATAAAGGAAATAATAACAAACGATACTGATGAACAAACAAACTTAGGCTTGCCAGTCAGCAGCAGTTCAATCACAAACTTATGAAATAACAAATAACAATCAACGAACAACATCTTAAATGATAAACCTACAATAGTGACTGGCTGACTCATCACAAAATCTTTTCAATGTTACGCATTTACAAGGTGCAAAATTTTTAAAATAAACACATGTGTTTTAAATAATTTTTCATAATAAAAAAATAAATTTTTATTTAAAAGCAAAATTTTGCATTAATAGATAGCGCGCACACACACACCTACCTGCATAGTGTCTGTGTGTAAGAATGCGTGTGTGTATATGTGTGTGTCAGTGAGTACGTGTGTGTGTTTGGTACATAATA